ATTATATATATATATATATATAGAAATTATTTGTTATCAAAAAAGTTGTTGCACATGCCTGCATATCTATAAGTAAATCCAGCCCTATTTATCGTTTAAGCAACAATTCGAATTCAACAAGTCGAATTCGTAAAGAAATATGTTTTTATCAATGATTAGTCAATCATTGAATTAATTTATTTCCTAAGACAATTAAATCGACTCGACGAGCTGCATTTATATAAAAAGGCAGTAGACCGTTATATTACAACGATTTCGTTCGTCTAATGTGTAATATTAAATAGAAACGTAAGCGCGAGAAAATCATGTCTTGTCGACAAATATCTGTGGAAGCTAAGAAAGCATATACAATAATTACAGATAATACATAAAATAAATAGAAATGTTAATAATAGTAATGTAACAATAATAACTAGACATTATTATTGGCACTAGTAACAGTAATATCATTTTTATGATGTATTTGGAGATAAGGCAATATTTAGGGCAAATTATAAGGCAAATTATTTCTATATTGTAAAAACAAAGTAATCATAATTATTTTGAACAGAACTGCAAAGGATAAAAATGTTATAATATGTCTGTAGGGTTTTCCCGTTAGCTATAATTAATATCGACGTATATTAAACGGCGAATATATCAATATATATATATATATATATATATATATATAGAGATATATATTAGTTTAACATACCACAGTGGTTTGTTAAAAATGCACGTCTCTTTGTTCAGAATACTAAAGGACTATAGCAAAAGGAAGTATGACTTCTTGACACTAATTATAACCTTCGCAGCGAAGCCATACTGAGGGCCTTTCGCGTCGGTTGATCCGACATCGGTGCTACTAGAACATCATCTCTATTTGGAGAACTTGAACCACCATTATCCAGCTCCTGGAAAGATATGACATAATGTCTTCATTCCTCTATTCTTTTCTCATCTCCAAATTTAAAATTGAAAATAAAGCAGAACTTAAGAGATTTTATTTTTAAAGGAAATTTTTTAAGTTTCTTGGTATTTAATATAAAGTGTGTGACTATGTTAAATAATGAATTTATGCTTTGCAATATTAGTAAATTGAACATAACACAGAATATACAATATTAGAAAAGGATCGTAAATGTAAGATTAGTAAGGAAAAAGTTAAATCTATTATGAAAAAGATATAATTGCAATATATTTATTCATTATATGTTTCTTAATTTTATTAATAAAAAATGTAAATATATTATTCTGATTTACGTCATCAAGTCTTACAATACTACGATATTAAACAAATATATCGAGCTTAATAATAATTTTTGAATTATAGACAACAATTTAACAATAAAAATAAAATAAATAAAACTACTATTATTTATTGAGAAATAATTAAATAAAACAAAAACTCAATACTTTGACTACATATAACGTACTTACTTATGATCCCTAATATAGTTCATCCATTGATTTTGAGTCAGCATGAAACTTTATTTCAAAATTTATAATTATTAACATACTCTTTCTTTTCCGTGAAAATAATGCACATAATAACAAAAATAAATATATTGCATAAATGTTGCAAATAGAAGCAATAAGAAGTGCAAGTAAAAGTAGTAATAAAAAGTAAAAGTCCACACAGAAAAGTAGTAAGAAATAGAAAAGAAAATTTCAGAGAAACCTCTAAACGATAAATAACATATTTTTTGTTCTAATAGAAAAGAAGAAAAATAAATTGACATTTAGCTCGGACTATCAAAAAAATTCAATACAGCTACAAAAATATGCAAACAATGAAATATTTAGCATAGATAAAATTTTATAGAAAAACGAGAGAGAAAGATAGACATTCTTTATTTAAGTAACATTAGCAAAAAAGTTAATTTAATAACAGAAAGCAAATGTAGAAAAAAAAGATATAATAGATTGTGTGTATAAACTAAATTTTAGTTTCATAGCCCGTTTTATTAAAATGAATTTAATGGCAAAAGTAATGCAAACAATTAATGGCAAAAATAACTCAACTTCCTATGATAAGGTGAAGACAACAAGCAAGCAAAAGAAAAAGAAAAGAAAAGGAAAAAAGCATAAGAAAAATTCATGTCAAAAAAATTTTCAACTAACACTGATATTGTTGCAGCTACCTAGCCGCATTTGAGCTATTTGTTGGTTTGTTGGAGCAAGATTATGCGCTGTTCCAAATGGCGACATAATTGTAGACATCGCTCTGTTTAATTTACTTGGTGTTTTATTAAAACTGAACGCTCGGCCAACTCTCGCTCTTGTACGAGATGCAAACCTGTAGAAAAAAATATGCCTTGAAAATTCTCTGATACATATCACTATAAAATACTTAAACATACAACATTAAAACTTTTCTTCCCCTTTTTGAGTCAATAATTTTAAGACCTAAAATTATATTTTTTAAATTATATGATAACTAAATATCATATATGTATAATATAGATAATAAAATTGTTTCACTAAGAGGAAAAAAAATTTTAGAGATTAACAAGATCTATGCCACAAATCCACATAAACACTATAATATCCATATCAAAGAAACCAGCTCAAGCAACTAAAATATCATCTATCATACGTCTACAAACAATATAAAATGTACATGCAAATTTGTCTATGGGATAATAAATCGCTAATTACATGGGATAATTAGAGACGATGAAAATTGCACCACGGCTGCACATTAAGAAATTATATCTGCTAAAAAAACATGTGTATAAAACACTAAATATATTTAAAAAACATATGTATATAAAAAAAGAATTGATCTCTAAAAAAGGTGGATTTTATATTAAAATCAAATAAGATATTTATGTGTGCGTGTTTGTGCGTGTCTGTGCGTGTGATATAAGTAAAAAATGAGAGATAAAGTAATAAATATTATTAAGAAGAAATTAATTGAAGCAAAATAAAAAGCAATCAATTAAATCATATATAAAATACTCCAACCTTTGTAGTTTTTAGCTAAAGAAAACAATAGTTGAAAGTTTCATTGATAAAGCTTACAATTGCATTACATTATGCTTGAACTGGTCAGAGCTGCAAAATTTTTCTGAATAATTATATCTATTCATCAAAGCATAAAACAGAACTTTAAAAGCGAGGGTTTTCAATAACGTAACTACAAATTTTTGGCTTTAAAGCGATAAAATGAAAAAATGCCTTTTCTGCTCCAACTTTTGCAAGACCAAAAACGATTAAGATACAAATTTTTTCTATTCTAACTTTTATATAAATATATTCGTCTATATAAAAAATTATATTCGTCTGATTGACAACAAAGTCACTTTAATTAATTTTCATGTTATATATCAATTTTGTTTCTTAAATTTTCTTTAGAGCCACTAACGTTGCTCATCTATCCTTTGCTCGCGCTTAATTAGTTACGTCACTGAATTAGGGGCTGAGGATAAAAAGCAAGTAAAAAAATATATTCAGCCTGGTGCGAAAACTGACGGTAGTGGGACATGTAACGTGGTTTCACACATGCTATTGAGTAGGAACACATACGGGTCCATATACTCCAGGTAAAAATTATGAAATAGGCTCCTGTAACCAAACGGTTGTCCCATTATTTTTTTACATCATGCATTAATAGTAAAATATATACACTAGTAAATCTTTTGATTATAAAAATATGTCAGTACTGTTTAAAAGTATTAGGTCATTTAAATAAAAGAAACTCAATATCTCATTCAACAAATAGTAAGATACTTCAAAATGTTTCTGCATTTTCGTATTGTTGCAAGAATAAAGAGAAAAACTTGGAAGAGAATAATATCATCTTATCATTCATATATGTAGTGCACAATGATAGCGATAATCTTTTTATCAAAAGTATTAAATGTCTTACAAGGTTTTCTTATATTTTTGCAGATAGAAAATTAAGAAACAAGATTAATTTAATAATAAGTCAAATTCCTTTTAATTGCAATGAGAATCAGTGTAGAATAATTTTTAGTAAGCAATGCTATGCATTATGCACAACAGTGCTGTGCAAGTGTATTAACTTTGAGCGAGTGCAATAATTCATTTGCCTATCTTTTGCTCATTCGTGCCTATAACTAATTCTCACCGCGATTATAGAACTTTATCTGCCATTGCATTGCGTAAGGATGAATGCAGTGTTTTATCATTATTATCTCTTTCTGATAAAGATGTTTGTTGTGCAAAAAAAGTTTAAAATCTTACTGATCCAAATAATCTAATCTCACAATTAACTGCTGACTCTTTTCTATTGGATATTTAAGAATAAAATCACTCAACTACAAAGTTTATAAAAAACTCAAAAACAAACAACAAATTTCTCATAAGAAACAAAATTCAAAACCATTTACTACCCGTCTTATAATAGGATATATGATGTAAAACATCACTATTTGAGAGATATTTCTAGATGTAAAATAAGACAGTACTTATACCGAGATATAAATTGGCAAAAAGAACAATGTAAAGACGAAATACGGATGTACTTACTTAATTGTTTTCTTTAATGTTCCTGATGCTACATCGCTGGTACCAACTTCAAGCTGATGAGAATCATATCGAATGAGTAATGTGTCCTGATAAACAAAACAAAAAGACATTGATTAATAATAGAATAAACAGATTACAGCTATACATTATAAAGTCTAATATTCAAAATTATCAAGAGACACATCCGTATCTCACGTTAAGTATAAATTACATTCCAAGAATTACATATAACTTACAGCATCGGCTACACGAACGGCAAGAGCCATTTGTCTACACAAGGTCTGCAAGTAATTTGTTTTGTTTACTTCTTCATCCGTAATTACAAACGAAAATAACTTTTCTTTCAGTTCTTGAGCGCCTCGTACTACGAGTGCAAACACTTTGTGACATTCTGAAAATGTCCCAAATAATTATTAGAATTATAAGGATTTGCTCTCAAGCTTTTTATTACGTATATTAATATTATATTTACCGTCAGTTTCTCGTATGTCCACGACTTTTCGTATAGTACTAAGCGACAACATTTTGATATGTTTATATGGCTTTCCTTGACTTAGTTTACTCGATTGCAAACCATTTATCGTGTTAGGGCTCTTCAACGAGTTAAAAGCTTTCGATCTTTTCTTGCATATTTCAAGAGTATCGGTGAATAGAAACAACACTAAATGATCACCCCGTCCACTAAGACCCTCCGTAACTTCCATTACGTCACATTTGCTAATAAACGACCTATGCGAAGAAACTAAATGCGGTGGGCAATTATCAATTTCATTGAAGATATCGAACATTGCTAACTGGCGTTCCGTTTTCCTTTTGTCTTCATTTATGTACGTCATAACTTTCTTAATACAGCAAATAGAAGCTGCCAGCGCGCCATAGTCTGGATTATTTTCGTCGGTATGTTTAAGAATATCTGTAGAAAAATGAAAAGAAGTATTTTGATGGCATCGACAAAATTTTTAAAAAGTATTACGATAATTAAAAATAATTAATCTTACCATTTAATAATAAACTAATACTGGGTAACCTTTGTACTGGTTTAATCAACAGTTCTTTTAAACTTTGTCTACCGCATTCTGGTATCGTCTGACAATTCTTCAAAAAGGCGTGAAATCGTGGTTTATTTTGATCACACTCCTCCAACATCTGTTTTGTGTTTTCGAAAAAGTTAACGTATGGGGGATATGCTTTAACCAAATCTGGTTCGAATTTCAGAAATATGTTGCCGATACTAATATCTTCTGTCCAGTGAGCGGCGCTATAACGCAGGGCTTCTAACAACTGTCTATGAACGTCATAGATAGGTGGAAAGTTACCAAATATAATTTTTACTTCTGTACTGTTTAACAATTCTTTCCCACTCTTTCCTATAAGGTTTTCCAATGGTAGTTTAAATAGCTGTAATTATAAAATGTGTGAATGTTAGAAATTATTGAGGAATATGAATCAACTTATTATAACTTATAATTTAAGTCACGATACTTACCGTCATAATTGTGTTGAGAATGCCGACATAATTCGCTTCTGTCTCTACTAACTCGAGAAATACTTGATGCCGTTGCGACAAGTTTTCTCTAACACTTTCTGTAGCAACAGCTTCTACCTCTGGAATATCTGGCAGTTAGTAATAAATAATTTTAACAAAATCTTCCCTTTCATATAGTTCATTTTTAAAGTTTAATAATTAGATAAAGCATATTTTACTTACTAATGATAATGATTTTTATCTAACCATCTAATATTTAAATTTCTTAATATATATGATGTTGAAAGATACAAATGTTATGTTTGTTAAAGCAAAAATAATAAATTTATACAATATAAAAATATATTATTATTTGCCACATGTTTAATGAACCACAAAGAAAGAGAAGACAGCAAACTTATTAATGAGTCATCAACATTTTATCACTTTTGATAATCAAACCAAAAGTTGATATTAATTGATATCTATGTTATTCAATGACTTGTAAATAGAGCAAGCATTTTCGTATATTTTTATACTGGCGCGTTTCAATATATTAAATGACATTTTGCTGTAAGATAGAGATAAGATAGTCGGCTTAAAAAACGACATATCTCTGTCAGATACAAATTGCCAATTTTTGACTTCATTCTTCGTACGAAGTGCTTGATTTATTTATCATTCATGTCACTACAATATGTAAAATAAAATTTCTAGACTAGTGTTACAATCCTATAAAACGGCGGACAAGTAAACTATTTACATATGCTTTTAAATGTTTTATTACGACGAGATGCAGTCTATGTAACAGTTAGTATGCTAGTGATGTGAATTTTTGAAATAAAGCAACAAATAAACATTAAGTTTCGCGTCAAACTCGAAAAGACTGTAAAAACTAATACTATAAGCTGCTTTCAGCGAAAGTTTTTGTTACAGCGTAGTTAGTATGTAAATAGTTTGCCCGCCAATACTAATCTGCAAACTTTAGTATCACTTTATATTAATATCTTATATTTGCTAAGAAGCAAATAAATATGATTTTTTTAAATGGCATCAAATGCGTACCATCTAGTAATTGTTTATCTGGACTTGCTGTGCAATCTAGGAAGCTTCCACTGACACTGGCTGGCGAGTCCGCTCCATTTTGCAATAAATTAGACAATGGACCGCCCAACCAACAGGGATGTTTGGGCAACGTTACATTTTGAAGTACAATCTGTTGACTGTCTCTTCTACCAGATGCAGTAGGAGACAGAACCGCTTCTAGATACTAAACAACAGAGAATTAGAGAATTTGAAAGTAGAATTTGGGAACTAGAAATTAGAATTAAAAAATTAGATATATATCATTATTAACTTACATGTTCAAACAGATATTCTTTCTCATCAGCTGCTGCTTCATTCTGTACAGATGTCCAAAACCATCCGGTCTTTACTATGAAAGCCGATACTGAGACCAAATTAGGTAATACGTTTACATTGGATTCATCTACAACCTATAACAATAAGTTGTGATATTATTACTTTGTCATTATTGTTTATTACAGAGCACAATAGACGACAGAACAAATTACATATATAATTATATAGGTTGACACAATTTTATACAATATTTCTAAATTTATTAACAACACAATAGTAAATTTGAAATTTATATTTTAAGTGATAATTATATATTGTGTTTCTCAAATATCTAATATTAATACATCAGTATTATATATTTAAGAAATACAATATATATATATATATGCATACATACACGTAACTATGAACTCTGTAAATATTCATATTTTATGTATCTAGAAATATATTATAGATGAACATACAAGATATTGCACATACGATGAAACAGAAACGAGCACAGGCTATACCTTATATTACCAACAAAAATTTTTTTAAATAGTTTAGTAAATATTACACGTCCTCTAAGTGTTAAATCCTTCTTTCTCAAAACTTTGTCCAATTGTTACGTTTCTACAATCTAACAAATGTGTTAATTAAATTTTAAACCAATATGATGTAGATTAAACAGCTGCTGAATTACATTTTACTCTCTATACAGAATAAAGAAAATAAATCTATTATTTCAGATATTAAACATCTGTTTAATCTAAATTATTGCCAGGTAATTGCCCAGATAATCGAATTTTTTTATACTTTTGTCAACAAAAAAAAAAATAAAAACAAAGTACCACAAGTAATGGTTTATCCTCCTGTGTCTTCAAGTCTGTGCAATCATTTCTCATGTCATGTGATGTGGATGATACATTGCATTGTTTCCCATTAGGTGTAAAAGTTGTTCTTAAACTGTGTTTAGTATTTGAAATCTTTGTAGGCGTTGTAGGAAAAGATTTGGATAAGGATGTGTATTTTTTCTTGAAGAGAGTCTTCTCGGGAGGAGAATAGCATGAATTGATGGAAGTGTCGTGCTCATTTTCAGAAAATACTGGACAGAAAGAAAACTGGCTAATTTTTGAAAAAATAGATGTGTGTGATTTAGACAAATTCTTATTTCTTTCATCCAATATATTGTATAAGAATGTATCGCTGTATTGCTCTTCACAATGTCTCAGAATGCTTGGGTAGGAACGTGTCTTCATAAATTTATACTTTTCAAGCTTCGCCATTTTGTGGACAGATGTGCAAGAATAAGTTTTCCTCCACTTTACATATCGCTTTGGAGTTATCTTAGTCATTGACGTATTATTCTGTATGTAATGAATATTCTTACGATATTTCAAAGATAGCGCATTATTACTTTTTGGTGATGCACAAACGTTGTATACATAATTTTTTTCATGAGACGACTTTACATCATCTGATTGTACTGAAAGGATTGACGCAATTTCACATTCGTTATTAAATAAAGAACTTTCGGAATAATTTGATTTCATGTTCTTTTTGCTTATCAATGTCGATGTTATTGGAATTGAGCATTTGTCCGACAAAAATGTGTTAGATAAATTAGACGATCTGATTATGTCTACACCGGAATCATTTTGCTCTGCGAAGGGATGAAATATACTGCCAGATTTAATAATTGAATTTTGCAGATCTGTAGAATTATCATTCATACTGACAGCAGAATCTTTGCTGACGTTATTAGAAATCAGATCACTCCATGTATTATGTTCTGTATCGAATGTTTGTGAAATACACGACATATTTTTTGACGAATAATAGCTGTCTTGAGTTTTTATAGAATTTGTTCTATCAATTCTTGATATGTTACTGTCATCACAAGTGACTCTTGTTCTATCAGAAATCGCGTTTAAATTAGGATTACAAAAAGAAGAGGAAACTGGTTTAAAGTACATTAAGGAAAGTGGACTTTGTTTGGACGAATTTTTAAAATCAGATAATTTTGTGTTGAATTTTCCGTACAAAGAGCCAGGCACATCTACCACCTAGACAATGTGCATAATTTATATATAATGTGTATAAAGCATATAAGTGTTTATGCAATGTAGTGCCATGTGAATATGTTTATATAGAGAAAACTTTATAAATAACGTCAAAATTATCTTATCAACTCACCACATGAGTACAATATGGATCATCGATTTCAGTAGCTTCACCACCTTGTTGCTCCAAGATCTCACACATATGTTTTTTCTCTTCTTCGGGAAAGCCAGAAAAACATACTTTTGCTCCGTAAAATGGTTTTAGCTTATAAGTAGTTATCTGTAAATAGAATTAAAATATATATTTTTAATATAATTATTATAAATCTTACTACAAATTGATATAAGAAAATATGATTTATTAAAAGGATTAATTTTTTTAAATAGCATGAATAATGAAAGAATTATTGAATTTAAAGTTATTTTCTGATATTTAGAAACACTTACTAATTCTTCACTGTTTGCATAACTGGAAACATCATCTTTGGCATTCCACAATGCTATCACCCACTCCACTGACATAATGGGTAATCCAAATGTGTCAGCGTATCTATACTTCTCTCCACTGCAATGATTTGCAATTAGATGCGTCACTTTAATACCCATTTCTTTTCGGATGCTACCTCCCATATTTAGAATCATGTTAGCTAACTTGCGCTGTTGAACAATATTACATCATAAAAATATGAACATACTTGACATGTAATGATACACATTACACATCAATCAAGATCAATAACATCAGGGAATTGTAAATATAGATAGTAGACTGACCAGTTCATCCTCCCTAGCTCGAAAACCACTAAAAACCACTACTGTGCCTACCATAGCTTGTGTATACATTGGTCTTTTAATGCTAGGCAGAGATTCTTTCTTCTCTGCCAGTTGTAGCAAAGCTGTAGGTCCCAGTACTCTAAACAAGAAAAAAAGAAAAATTATCTTAAACTTTTTTTTTCATATTTGAATGATAAATATGCTGCATTGTTTTGTTCTAAGAATGTACTATATTGCTATCTACAAACCTATGAGCACTCTTGCATAAAGTGTCATACTCGGATCCTTCAAATTGTTTGAGTATGAAGTACGTATTGTAGGTAGTATCTTCAATATACTCTGTGCCAGTCTCAGACTTAAGTACAGATACTTTAAATTGCTGAGCAGCAACATTAAGTGCAGGATCATCGCAGACTGTGCCAACTAAGCATATCCTCTTTTTGCGTGGTATTATTAAGGCTGGTGGATAAAAAGTCTTTTTATTAACTTTTTTTCTATTTACTCTAACATCTTCATTCTTCATTTTCTCTGGTACATAAAAGCCAGACATAGATACTAAAAAAATATTTAATTAATCCATAGATCATTTCCAAAATATCTAAAAGAGACAAGGTTTTGGAAAAATCTGCAAGTTTTAAAATATATTGCCATTTAACATTGTCAGATTGAAGTTGAAGTGTACAAATCCCAATAATTATCTCTCATACTATCAACAGAATCTTGCTGATATGTGTTTTCTATAGGAAATCCAAAAAATCCAAAAATTAAAAATATATCTAATTTTACAATTAATGGTACACATTAACATATAACAATTGCAAAACAATGTTATTAATAGATGAAGAAAGTAACTAAATTTCCACCAGTTAACAGAAAGATTTGTCAGTAAACGCTATTTTTAGTCGTGTCAGCGTTCCGGTAAAACTTAAACGTTGTTGTACAAAGTAAATAAGCTTTATCTCGTATCATAGACAACAGGAAGTCGCGTATGTATGTATATACATCTGGTACGCGCGATTCACGTGCACAGCGTGAGATAATTAATTTGCGAAAAACGCGAAAGACCGAGGGAGAAAAAAAGATAGCGAGAGACAAAACGAGAATGAGAAGAAAGGAGAATAAAAAAAAAAGAGATGGAAATGAACGATTACGAACAATCACGAGATCATTATTTTCAAGGCTTCTTGCGAGAATATTTGTCACGAAGAAACCGTTTGTCTCTGACGTAATTTTGGGGAAGTCAAGGCCGAATAATAATCGAGGGGGAGACAAACTCAAATCTTCCTTCCTTTTTTAACATATGCCGCTAAAGATCGCGTCTAATAAAAATAGAGTTAAGGATATCAGCGAGCCGATTAGCCGATTAGCGAGCCGAATTGTGAAAATCGCGAAAAATACGCCGACTCATGCGACATTTGTGCAAAACAATACGCGAGGCGCAATCATCGGATGAAATCGTCAGCAAAATTTCAAAGTACACGAGATTAACGGCAAGTTAATCCGTTAGCAAAACATGCGCAGGTAACCAAAGGTCTGCGATCTTTAGCAGAGGAGGGAGATTCACACAGGATCCCGTCGCCGCGTGCGAACGCGGGTACGTCGCTGCGCGACGACGTCACGGTTCCCCGTCTACGATGATGCCGAAGATGATTCAATGTTGACGGATTCGTGCTTACTTTTGGCCGCCTCCGCACTATTTATATCGCCGATACTGCCGTGAACGCTTTGCTCTTCCATTTTGGCCCGTACGTTACAACATCAGTCCGCTCCCCTTTGTACGCGCGATCTTGTCGAACGTGTCCTCCCGTCCCCGACGCACGATGACACCAGTCCGTCCCGCCGATTCATTTAAATTCTATCGTGGACGGCGACGGCCGCGTGATCCGCACTTTTCTCGCCGGCCGAAATCCAACATGAATGTCACTACCGAGTCACGCGCACTCGTATCTAACGACAGCCACCACCGGAACACACCGGAACGGTATCGCAGCGGCACACAACGGCGACGATCGACCAGAAGCACCAAGCACGTTTATCTTCGTCCCTGCCTTCGTGTATATCAGTGTGCCGCGTATCGCCACACACTAGTTTCGTTGATCGCCGAAACTGCCGCCGTCTCCCTCACGCTCTTGTGCTTCTCTCTCGCACGTGCGATGTGTTTTTTTTCTTCCCGCGCGCGCGAGCGCGGGCTTCTGCGCGCGCATTCGCAACGATGAGCGCGCTCGCAGCACGTGCCCAAAGTTCTTCGAATAAAGGTGCCTTTTTACGTTGACGCTCGATGTTCAATTTCAACGTTAGAAGACATCATGTGACCGAAAATAACCAACCGTTGCGCTAGTTTTTGGTCACATGATGTCTTCTACGCTGAAATAGAGCGTCGAGCGTCACGTGAAAGGGCACCTTAAAAGTTAGGACACCGAGTTTTTTGATTTTTGATTGGTCCGCCATGTGCAATGGGGAACAAAGGCGAACAAAGACAGAATGATACTTGTGTAGACCTGTATTGTTAGAGCTGGAAAGCGGTAGGATCTCTTACAACAGATGTCGTGCATGCCTTCGCGCCTGAAATTAAACGCATATCTTTGCCAAATCGAAAACATTCACAATTATTTTTATATTTTATTTTAATAAAAGTAAAGTGAATAATATTGTTATAGTTTAACGTGGCGAATTCAAGTTGTGTCGCAAAACTCGTGTAAAATTTAATAGTGAACGAGGTAACGATTATTATTTTATTTTATTGTTATCATTACTTTAACACGTTTTATCTTTAATCGAATAGTAAATGCTTATAGACGTTAAATGCTGATATCTATCAAACTATCAAACTACATAAATCAGCTGAGTCAACTGCTGATTTAGCATTTTTTTATGACATTGAACTTTAATAACTATAATACCGAAATCTCCTTGAATAGCATCAAAGCAGATAGCTTTTATATATGATCATCCCTTTTTATACAATTAAGAACTTTGTGTCCCATAGAGGATCTAGTAAGTGAAAATATAAGGCTATAGAAGGCTAAAAAAAATTATAACCTTAGGCGATCTTTCTCCCTCCTTTCTCTCTTTCAATACAGTTTTCCTATATGAGATTTTTCATGGAGATATATGATTAATAGCTTTTAGATAGAATAGAACTATGTGATTCATACATTGATCAACCTATCATTTGTCTAATTACAGTGCAAAATGATAAATTTGTTATAAACTTATACATTGTAGACTGTTTCGATTTATATAGTTTTATTTGAGAAAATGAGTACATCATGCATAGCTCGCGTACATATATCCATTATAAGAAAATACAAGGATTACACAAATTATATAAATTACAAATTATATGAGAATAGTGTGTAATTAATAACGCAATTGTCTTGTTACATAACGTTATTTACATTACAATGTAAATAAATACTTGCAGAAAAACATCTAACTTTTAAAGAAATTTAAAGTCAACTGCATTAATTTTATACATTCTTAAATATTCATTAAATTAACTTAAATTAATTTTTATCAGTGTTATAAACTTAATACTCTTTTTTTTTAAATAAATAATATTTTTCAAGCATAAAATGTCTTTTTTTACATAGGAGAATACATTATAATTAAAAAGATATGAAATAATTATCAAACATATATATATATATACATATATATATATATATATATATATATATATATATATATATATATATATATATATATATATATACAAATATATATATATGCTTATAACTATTTTTACTTAAGAAATTGTATAATTGATAACAAATTTGTTGTAAACTATCAAATTGCACTCCCAGAACTACAAAATAAATTTTGTGTATCTCAAAAGATATTAAAAACATATGATTATAAAACTTGTATTACATGTAACGCTTTTTCAATTAAGTAAGAAACATTTCTGTTGATCATAAAATATTTTAGATATTAGTACCATGATCGACAATAAATATCAAATGCACATTATTTCAGATTGAGGCAGCATTAGTATATCACAAGAAACTATTGTTGTAGTTAAGTATGCATCTCTTTCGCACAAGGTAGATATTTGTTTGCTCTAGCTCACTGATCTGATTTTGGTTTGCTAATACATAATAACATTAAAGTTATAGTCCTTAAAAAGTATATTTCATAGTGATGTAATATTAATAGTCTCTCTCTCTAATTATTTCAACTTTTTCTCGCAAAACATTACATATTAAACTCTTTTATCTGTATCTGCAATGCAATAAAAGATTCAACACTATTTTAATTTTTTCATATAAAATTTTACATTTAAAGAATAATTTAGCTGCAACCCTAATTTGTTTTAGAAATTTTTATACTAAATATCTAATATAAATATTTAAAACAAATTCTATGTATCTGACTTGATTAAATGTTTGTTTATTTTTATCTTCACAATACTTAAGGTAGAATACGACATAATTTTGTAATCTATGAGGCTAAAAGTTTCTGCTTCATATATTTTGTTATAAATAATATTATTAAATTACGTATCAAATTACTCAAATTACTCACATTTAAAACAAAGTTAATTCGTAATTAACGAAATTTCGTATTAACGAAATTATTATTTTTCTTTAAATCGAATTATGATAGAACATGCATATATAAAGATGGAAAAGAAATTATTTATGCAATTAATCAACATTATTTTATAAAAGTTTATAAAAAATCGACTATAAAATATCTTAGCATCTACATATATGTATTAATATTTTATAACAAATACGAGTATGTTTTTAATCAACATTTTTGTGCTCATTCTTGAAAATACGGACACACTGTCAATTAAGTTTTGTAACTGTAATAAAGTACCGAATTAAAAGTAAAATAATGATTCACTTGCATTATAGAACATATAGGAACTGTATAGAACATATATCAGCAGTGCAATATCTCAGAAACAATGACGATAAAAAAAACATTGGACACTGCATTACTTTAGTCTACACGTATTTTTTTGTTATCGTGTGTATATTCTGATCTAAGTAATAAAATCTACAAAATCACACTAAACTTTCACATCACAACAGCCAATTTTGTTTAATGTATAGTATTTGCCCATACCATACAAAAACTATTAAGCATAGCATTGCTCTCTATCAGCATTTCATGTTGTATGAAAATACATCTAAACCTCAAGATAGTAAATAAAAATAGCATAATTTTTTTGGTCAGAGAAAAACATATCTCTTTTAATATAATCAGTTATCATTTAGAGTGTAGGTGCTCCTCTTCATCATCGCTATAATCATCGCTTAAATAATGAATATTTTGAGGAAACTCATAGCGTCCTGTCTTCTTAGGTGGTGGACTGTGACATATATAAAGTAATTTAATTAGATATGTAACGAGTTGTTTTTTTTCTAATATGTTTAAAGGTATACCTTGTCTGATCTTCATCATTATGGCTGCTATTACTGCTGCTGTTTGGACTGCCATCCCTCTTTGGGCTTGCTGGTGGTGATAACGCTTGCATCAAACGGCCTTTACTTTCATTCCATATTGTTGACTGCGAATACAAAGAATTTCGATATATATACATATACGTAAGTATATACTTAAAATGTGAATAAGAAAAATTTAATTTAAAATTTAAGTTTTAATTTATTAAAATAATATTACGTACCAATCTGCCTTCTCTTCCAAACAGTAAAAGGAATGCATCGATAAAGTCCCGAGATTTCTCTTCCCATTTGCTTATCATATCCATCCGTTTTTCACCAATATTTTCCATCACTCGTTTTCCTTTATCTTTTAGGTCATCAAATTTATTTTGTAGGCGAAACTTCTTCTCCTGTAAAATTTTTTTCTTGAATAACTATCTTTTACAACATGTTATTCTTTTCATATATAGTATCTTAATGATACAATATCTTTTTAAATTTAACAATTTAAGCATGCCAGAGATATTGATCGATAAAATCACTCACATTGAGAAAAGAAACGTTAAGTTCCTTGGCACTGTAGCCTCGTGCAAGATTTCTTCTGACATACATGTCATAATCTTTGACTATTCTTGCAACTATATCCGAAGTGGACACTCCCTCCGTTCTCTGTGTAGCTACAAACATACCTTTAGCCTTTAACTTAGCATAAACATCTTCCGCATCATCCGTCATGTACGGTATATCATCATGAGCAACAAAGTCAATCTATAACATGATACAATTCATGCAATTTTTTTCTAAATAATTATGAACTCTCTATATGTCTAAAAATCTACTTCTATCGTGTAAACATACCTTGTGCTTTTTAAGGAATTCATCATCAAGCTCCCAAGGTGCATCTCGAACAACTTCATCTACGTATCTGCAATGTCTAACAGCATCATACCTTTCTAAATCTGTCATTACAGTCCTTCCTTTCTTGATGTGTGTTAATTCATCGTTGCACACTATAAAATAAAATTACGATTGATGTATGACATATTTATATAAGAGTTCATTAATATAATCAATGATTACATATATTTAACATATAAATATATGTTAAATATATGTTAAATATATAGTATTTAACATATAAATATATGTTAAATATAGTATTTAACATATAAATATTAATGAATTTTTACTGTTTTGCATAATTACCTCCGACAATAAGATAAACATTTGGAAAAATATTTTTGGCTTGTAATAGTTGCCGCGCATGTCCTTGATGAAATAAATCATAAATGCCATCAGCATAGACTCTAATTTTCCTAGGAGCTAAAAAAAAAATAAACTTGTTTTTAATCAATGCATCAAGAGTGCATCTAGAACAACTCTATATATATAGTTACAATGCTTAATAGTATCTTTATACATCTGTCATATAATTTTTTTTAAATAAGTGCGATATTATACAATTATATATATAATATTCAACAATAATATTGTTGAAACATACCTTTACCGCTTTTTGCTTGTTTTAAGGTAATTCGTGTGTTATAATCACACGCATTCCTCTCTGCAATTGCCTCTAAATCATCACTGAAAGGTGCTTCTTTACAGATAGACTAAAATAAAAAAAAAAAAGAATACACTTAATGACACTTAATAACACGATAATAAATTATCTATCTTAGGAAAATTTTTTGCTTATTAATAATTTATGCAAAAATGTACAGATATAATGATGCAAAAAAAATTCCTTTTATCTTCATGAATTTGTGCATTTAGGATATATTTTTTTTATGGTTATACTATAATATAAATTGTGTTCATCTATTTCTTTTTCATTTCAATTTATTATATTATATAATAATATATTGTTATTTTATAATATATTTTTATACAATATAAAAACAAATAAAAAATAAAAGTGGAACTTACTGGAAGTCTTTCATAACAGACGGAAACTTGATTATTACAATCGTTTAAAAGTATAAAATTTGTACTGTTATCTTCATTGCAATTCTGTTTGGATCCCCACGTCATTGTTTCTATCACACTATTGCTCAATAATATATTTAGTTTCTAAGTTTATATAGAAACTTATTTCCCAGCTATCTTAAATATTGCAAATATATAGCACTTTATATTAAATATATTATATTAAAAACTTATATTAAAAACTTTTAAAATAGTTTTGATTTAAAAAAACAAAAACTGTGCAATTGTAATTAAACGCTTTAGATATAATTGTTAAAAAATATATCCAAAACTTATAAAAACAAATGTTAGATTCTATTCAATACGTAAAAATTTAATATATATATATATATATATATATATATATATATATATATATATGCCAGTGTGGTTTCACTTCTAGAAACTGAACAAGACTGTAAAGACGGTAAAAATTCTCAAGCTTTTATCACATTAGATATGTTCCAATCTGGCATCACGCCAGACTGTTATCAGTTGAAGAGGAATTTAGTCTTGTATTTTAAATAGACAACACGATTTATGTTAATGATTAGGTTTTTAATATCAATAAGATACAATATAGTTTATAAATACATGTGTATGTCACGTTTCACAATATTTTTGTCATTCCAATGTAAAACCAAATTTATATCTCATTAAAGAGATATAAACAATTTAAATACTACTTTAAATTAAATTTAAAAAGAAAATAAATATATGTATATATGATGATGTGATAAAAAGGTCACTTATCACATTCAAAAGTCATGAAAATAGATTTCTCGAGGAAAACAAATTTTTGAACAAACAGATGAAAATAACATGCAACATCATATCAATAGTACATTTCCACATAATAACACTGTAACATTTTTTTACTATTTTCTCCACTAAGATATATAATGACTTAACGAAATACTTACAGCATGAATCGGAGAATCTTCCCTGGAACAGGACGCATTTTCTCCATTTACACTATTCTGGTGGGATACAGTAGCCAGCATAGTTTCTTCTCTGGGACGCTTTCTGGACATTTTCTCACTATCGCAATATCGTTGCCATGCAGCTTTGGTTTAACTGCAAGCACATAAACGTCACAATCAAATTACACAATACGATCTTATGAGGTAAGATATCCATCGTTTGCAATGTTTGTAACTATTAATATGATGGAAATATTAGAAAATAAGAGCATTATGCTGGAATAATTGTGCTTGCTCCGACTAAATGATGCCACTTGTTTTCACAAGTAAAATTATAACGTGGAGGAAAATCCACGCACATTTGAGCGAGAAATCGAGTTATAGCGGCAATTACGCTATCGCGAATCGATAGCGGGCGCAAGGCTGACATAACCCACGGCATCGTTGTCAGTGGACGAGCTTGAAGGATCGAAATTCGCGATCTAGTCTACCGGTCGACGTCACGCGTGACCGCGCCTGCGAACCGCATGCCACGCACGTCCGGTCAACATCGAAGAGAAAATTGACATCATGAAACCATGCGGACAAATGAAATTCGCCTGTCGATTCACGCGAAAAATAATACGGCGAATTTATCAATACTCACGGCAGCGTCGATGATTGAGTCTCTTCGTTGCTGGTCGCAAACACGTTGGTTCAAAAAACAATGAAAAACTGCGTTTCTTCGTGGAATTGTATTTTTCACGGTTCAATTCTTCTCTAACCGGTACTGCAATCAATCGTCAGAAATTAGATAAATAAGAAAAACGGGACTAAATCTGATAAAACGACGAGTTCGATAATGTGCTTCAACTGGACGTTAAATGACATGCGGTGCAGCATGCGCATTATTCCGCGAACGTTTCGGGTTCCCAACCTAAACGCCACGCCACACTGTACTATCAGCTGACCTAGCAGACATCCGCCGCAGAGACCTGTCGTGTTTAGGTCCCGTCTAGACGCATTTATGTGGCGACATGATATATATACAGAGCAAACTGACCAATCACGGAATATAAAGAAGGTTATATTGTTTAGTATGTTAGAATGATTGATCGACCTTACTCTATCTGGATCACAGACATACGTACCTACGAGCATCAATTATATATGTTTCTACAGAAAGGTGAAAGATACAAAAATAAGAATTTCTTTGTAATAGGATTGACTATCGTTTAGCAGACAACAAATCCCGTTACGAAACTTTATTCTGTCTCTATTCTATCAAACGCAATTTGTTTTATATATAAATATGATTCATTTTGGTGCAAATGATTCATGATTTGAATAGACTTTTTTCGCCATCACATGCCGAAAATATAGCAATAACACGATTTGTTTTCTTTGATTGTCAAAAAAAAAAAATGTATTGCTTACGTTTCAATATGAGTTAAGATTTCGGTATTTTTAAAGCTATAACAATTTGAAACTAAAAGGAAAAATATTTTGGAGAAATTAGGAGAAATTCAGTCAATCTTTCACGTAAGAGATTTAGAATGAGATTGTTTGAAACAAAATTCAAAGTAATTTTCAAACTTTCTCGTAGTAGTCTTCATAGAAAACGATGCAATGCCGGTGCCTTTAGCTTCCGCATTCTCTACGTTTTTTTATTTACAATTTGTACCGTTACAAATCTATGCTCAACTTGTCAGTACTGAGACAACAATTCAAACGTTCTAAAATTAATATTTAGCGTTTCGTTATAGAAAATTCATTTCAAAGTTACACAGTCGATTTTCATTATCACAAAAAAATTCTCAGCGTATTAAAATCGTACTAATATAATGATATCAATCATTACGATAAAATATCAATCTTGTTTCAGTAATCGCTTCGTTATTCATGCATTATTCATCCCGATGCATGATTAGAGCGCGACATTTCGCTGAAAATTATGCGAAATTCGTAATTTTCCACTGTAGATTCTATATATACACGCCAGCGAACCCTCGAAATAACCTCAAATAACGTAGCCATGGATCTTACCGTGTTAAACAGCTACTTGCACAAACACTCTTCGAAATTTGCCGGGCGTCGCAACGTGCTCTAGTGACGGAGATCATTAATACAATTTCAAGATTTGCGCGATCGAAACACTGGATAACGCATGGCCTTTAGCTTTATCTCCCGATCAGTGAAATGGACACGCCAACTGTGCACTGAATATGTCGCCTTTTCGACACCGTCGCATCCGCTTTATCGTCACGAACACGTGTAAGTTCTTGTGGTAACAGAGTCGCGACGTGTACGGTCGGCGAGGAACGAACGCTATCTGCGTCGGGCGAGACGATGATGACGTAATATCGGATGATCGTCGGCGTCATATGTGCGCATGCCGGTATGCACTGGCCATCGCATACCTATGTGTATATATATATAAAATAATATAAACTAAAAAATAGCTGCCGTTTATTGACGAACTGTCAAACTAAACTCGCAAAAATGTCTAATTTACATTTGCTCATTTAACTGAAACTTTACTCGCGATTAGTCGTAAAATTGTGTAGTTATATATATTACAGTTTTCTCAATGTCAAAGTTCTAAAAGTGTTCACTCATTTCTTGAGTTCTCAACAGAGCATAAAAGTGTGAACATCAAAATATTTTCTTCCAATTGTAAGTATTATTTTACTTATGTACTATTTTAATTATTATTTTATGAAGCAACAGTTGTATATAATAATACGTATTATATTTTTATGTATCAGCTTATTCATAACCTTCTCTAACCTAACCTAACGTCTGTGTTTATAGGTATAGACGAGCGCTTTTTAATCATATTACTTTCTGGTAAAAGTGTAACGATAGAGTTGATGGTAAGTTTCGATAAAATAGATTACTATTTGGTGTTTCAATTTCATTTCCTTGATGTTATCATGTTTTTGTGCAGGTGATGGGTGTAGACTTTCACTTCAATCACAGAGCTTTTAGAAGAGATCATTAAAAATGCTGAAACTCTGACGAAGTTAAAATTCGAACTTTAACGGAAATATCAACTGCTTGAAGAATTGATGTATTTACTGATATTGAAAATATGAGAGACATACATATAAAGCAAAACACTTAAAGATGTATTCAGTTAAAAATGCCATAAATAAAATCTCCACATTTTTTCAGTTTGTATATTTTGTAAGGTAAATTAATAATCAATTTATAACTTATTATAATATAATTATTATAATATAAAGCTATAATATAAAAATATAATATAATATAAAGTCACAATTATAATAATCAGAATTTGAGTTCATATCTTTGCTAGATATTTTTTTTCTCTTTTATTATAGGGAAATTCTTATTATTTTCATCTCCTTGTTATATAAAATATATATTTCTCAAATATAAAAATTTAATTGTGACTCAGGAAAATCGATAAAACATGTAGATCATTATTTCTACCTTCACTTTCGATTTCTTGTTAATTAAACTCAAACTCGAGTTTTTTTGTTGTCAACTTTAATTCTTATAAATCTGTACATTAAAAAATTTATATTTATTATTTCTTATTGTAGAATAATTTTATAATATAAAAATAATATACAATGTAAAAAATTTTTTTTAATTACATTTGCCCTTGAATTTAATCTCGTATCTTTCGCGTAAGTTAATTGTAATAAAACAATCTTTGTATCTAAAAATTAACTGACTTTGAAATGAAGCAACCAGTGGCCCAGATACTCCACAGGATCAGATGGTTTCTTCATTACAATTTCACGAAGAGCTTGAATTAATGGCTTGCTCAGAACTTTTCTTAGATAGACTCTGTTTGGTAACAAGTGCATCCGCTCATTCAGCGACGAATTGTTGGATGTAGCGGAATTAATAGAACCGCTGCTTTCGCTAACTTCAATTTTTATTCGCCGTAAATCTCGCAAATTGTCGATATCTTCATCACTTAAATTTAAAGCCTTCAAAAGTCTGAGGAAGCAAAACAATTACAAAATTAAGAAAAAATAATAGGTGAGAACAAATCATAAATTTCAACGTATTTGTTTAAAAATTGTTTACATTGATAATAATTTATATTTTATTTATATATAATATAATATTTTAAAAATATATAGATCTACATTTATAAACAACAATTTTGATTATTATTGATTGATTTTGACTAACCTAATATGTTCATCCGTAAAATCAGAATTAATCAATGTCTTACTGAGATTTTTCCTCAAATCTTTTTTGTGTAAAAGACCTGCAATGTTTTTATCCGTTTTCTCGTCCCATTTATTTTTTTCTGTTTTTTTGGCTTCCTTAATTATTTGTATTTCTTCCATTGATTCTTCCTCTAGCTGTGGTTTCATTAAAATCGTTTCATCGCTAATTTTCAACATTTTTAATTCTTCTGAAGTAATTTCTCTAGAGAAATTTTGAAGTACAGCATTTTTATTTCACATTAACTTTCTTTTTGAAAATATTTAATTGAAATAGATATGATGAAACTATAGCAATTCAAAGCAGAACGAAGTTTTGCGCAAGAGTTTTTTCGGCTTTAAACGAGATTCTTGTTTTTCTGACGCTCGACACAATAACGAGAACAAAAAATTTTTTGCATGGATTAACGCAACGTGACCTTTACCATGTTAAACGATCTTCCTGCTCTTAAATTTACCGTCATCTAGCCATTTGCCGCGCGCATATATTACATATCTTGTTGGAGTATCATGTATTTGCGCACCGAGTCAAATTCCGATTTCTAACTCTGTACGTACTCTGTTACGTAAAAATTAGTGCGATGCGTTATAATATTTTTACACATAAGCACGACTAAGACTTTGTAATTTATGTACATAATTTATATATTTTTGTACAATGACTTGCCGATACTTTGCACACGTGACGTGATAATTATACAAACGATGCTAATTGACTTCGTTTTAAGACTAACAATTCCGCGTTGTCGCGCTTTTTAGGACATCGTCACAATTCGTCTTTGACAATATGCAATTGCGGAGAATAACGCGATTTATTCATGGCAATGTTAAAACACAAATTGCAGATAGATGTTTAAACATAAAAAATATAATTGCACACATTTAATATTTATCAAATTCCTCGTAAACATTTTTTTTAAGTATATCTTCGAGAAAAATTAATCTTTTAATGATCACATCAATTTTTGCTTAATGACTATATCTTTTTGTTTGACTATATTTTTTTTCTTTTTTTATTTGAATTAATTGAGCAGTTTAATATATTCAAATGTCGTAAATCAAATTTTGCTTATCAAATTTATTAAATTATTTAACGACAACGGTGATCGTACTTAATAACGAAATTTAAAGTTGTTGATCTACCGAGTACTTGAACTAAATCAAAAATGAGTCATCTCGTGAACTGTTCTTGACGTATCATAGCACTTTATAATTCGAGCGAGAAGAATTAGAAAGGGATAAGTAGATTTTATTTTGATCAATTAGTCTTTTACAATGAAAAGAAAATTACAAACTGTAAACTCGCAAATTATACTGTGACAATCTCGCTGCGATACGTCGTAAGTTTAGAAAAAGTTATAAAAAATAAATAATTACTTTGCTGATTAGCTGCTATGTGTAATAAAATATTGTATAATAAAATATTACTTTATTACTACAAGAAATGCTACGTTTATTATAAAAATATAATTTTTAACGAACGTAATTTTGTTTTTTGTTTGTTTTAAGTCAATTGTCAAATATAAATCATAAAAGGATTTTGTCCGATGATTTCGTATCAATTGTATTGGGATTACATCCTATAATTATTTTCAATTAGAGGTTTTCATTGCGCCGGTACTCTTTGAAAGCCGTCTCTTATACTCGCATACAATGCTTGAATTATGGGATAATAAAGTCTAATGATTTCAAAAGATTCGCAGATCCTTATACTATCTTGAATCTGGTCAGTTGGCTTAGAACGCTGATACACAGCGTATATCTATTCACGAATTTATTTTCCAAGTTTTTCAAAACTTATTAACAGTTTAACGAACTAATGAATAGAAGTAATATCTTTGCAAGCGTAACTCTCTCTCTTTTTTGCTATTTTTTCAAATATTATTGGTTTTAATGGAACTAGTTTAAAAGTGCCGTAAATATTATAAACAAACTGAATAAAATTGCACGATAAGAGCTATCTTATCAGTTCGGCGATGTAACGAGAGTGCGGAATTGAATCGAGATTTAATACGGAATAAGTGATTTTCTTACGCGGAAAATTCTCACACCTGTGGAATAAATTGAACGTCAAACGTAATTAATAATACGACTGCATTTCTTTTTTGAGCCGTGTGCGAGCTGTTAATTGTAAATTTATAAAGTACGACGCATTTAAACATTTCCATCTGTGCTGCACATGTTACGCGTACTTATAGCGTTTAAACTATGATTGTCACGTTGCCGTCATCGATCAAAATACACTTGGTAGATATGCAAATAGCGCATTCACTTCAAGTAATCGTTTTATTTTCCTAAACAATACAATAATCGTAACATAGAGAGAACATTGAGAAAAATAAAGTATTAAAAATGCAACTTTTGCAATTATACTTTTGTACACTTCGATGTACGAATATAAATTGCACCATTAATAGAATAGATTATTACGACTTTAATTTCGCGTTATTGTGAATTTTTTTTACTCAATATTTTTTACAAATAATTTTTAATAAGACTCGAACATTAGGTTTTGAAATAAGATATAATTAAAAAAATATTTTAATTAAAAGATATTAAAGGTAAAAAAATATCTTATTGGACAATAAATGTAATTTATATAGATAAATTTAAATTTAATTTGTGTATTTTCAATTTTTTGTCAATGTAAAATAGAGTTGTGCGTACTTTTACCTGTATATTATATCTTTTCTTGTGTAACTTTCCAGGTCAATTCCACTCACGCCTACCCACACGATAAATATGCATTCTGTATTTAGAAATGCACGGACTTACATTCAGTCAGCATTAGTCAGTTTTTAATATATATATCAAACGATTTATCAAGCAAATTCTGATAAAAAGATTATTGCAGATTTTAATTATACTCATTATATTTTATTTTATTTTATTTATTGTCATCATAGTTTGGCCGGTGGCGCAGAACTTCAATTTAGTTTACAATTTCTTCTCTTATCTTCTTTTTCCATATTTACATTCTACTTTCGTCACACTCCCACTTGCTCGTTTTTATTTCAAAATTTCTACCTCTCATTTATTTCTATTTCCTCCACTTTTCTTCTTTAGTTTTTTCATCTTTTCTATCCACTTCCTAACTCTTTCATCTCCTCTCTCATCTAGCCTTTCCCTAAGTCTATTTTCTATCTTACTTCCTTATCTTATCATTCTCTCAGCAGGTGTTGTATTGTTTCTTTGTTCTCTTTATATATTCTGCATCTCTTTTTTTCTGTTTCCCAATACCTATTTCTCTCTTCCTTATTGCCACATCTTAATTTTGCAGTTGTCTTGCAACTCCTATTCCTTTCTCTTTTTAAATTATTTTTATTTAAACATTCTTATCACCGCGGTATAAAGTAGCAGAACAGTTTTTCTCCTTTAATTATATTTATTAAATTTTATTATATTTTTTTTGCTTATTTTAATTTTTGTAAAAACTTAAACATTCTACACGCATAAATATAAACAATTGTGATGCAATCAATGATTCGTATTTACGCGCTGAGCTAGTCTTGGCCAATCCCATCGATCATTGTACGAAATTCGCGCGCGACGCGAAGACACCCGAGTAGCAGTGGTAGCGGCCGAACATAAGCGTAATCGGGTTTAGTCGGCCGGCGTGTTTCATAGTGATAGGATAGTTTTTTGCATCGCTCGCTCGTTCACTGGTGAGTTCGCACGTTGAACTTTGATTTACGTACTATGCGCTCATCTTTTCAGCTGTGAAATCAATTTCGCGAAGGAATATCGAATTTTGCGTAATTCCAACGATTGAATCTTTATCCGTCTGTTTGTCCGACACGTCGCGGCGATACACCGGCAATACACGTACTTACGTAAGTACAATGACTTTGACGGGTATACCGCATATATCGAAATCTAAAAGCACCATCAGCCCGTCTACTTTTCGACACTGTGAACTGTTGCATCTTCTGTATAATAAGTAGTTGCTGTGACTGTGCGCACTTACGTACAAATTAAGCTCGAACAAACTTTGAAACGTATAATACAAATTTGATAAATAATTGCTTCGGAGATATGAGAATCGAATATAAGAATCCCAGTGTAACGTAGAATTAATATTAGCGTAATCTATTTGCGATAACGCGTAGAAAGTTGCACGTGAACGCTCGAGCGACGAAAACGTAATACTGGCGTGGAATCGTTGCAAGTCACCATTATCGTCATATCTAAAAATCGCCATTGAGATGATACCAGTGTACATACAAGCTCGATATAAGCTTGTGAATTCGTAAGATTCTCCACGACAATTGCCGCGATGCAATATTCGATGTAATCGTACATCTTCGTCGGACGCGTTTCGAGCGAATCCTTGGCCTGTTTCGTGTTCGTAATAAAGTTCATTAATGATCCATACGTCGCAAATAATTTGCTCCACACATATAGAATTCATTCCGGAATGGCGGCGAAATAAGTTTTGCGAATCAACTTTCTTAATAACCTTCGCAGAAATCAAAACAAAATCTAAGGATTTAAATTAAACCTATAAAATTAAAAATTATAAAAATAGATGTTTACTTATTTATGATAGTTAAGTATCCTTAAAGGCATCAAAGTAACATTAAAAAGTTTTGACTTGAAAATTTTATTTGCGGTATTTCTTGATTCGAACGCCGACCTTCTTTAATAAAGCCTTCTTGAAGTTTAAGAAGCAGCAATTTTGTGTACTATTTACATAAATCGAAGATCATATCGATAGCGGCGAGTTTTATGGCTGTGAAAAGATTTTTTAGAAATTCGCGACGGGCCAGCAATCGATACTCGTGCTAATAACAGCTAGGCACGAAATGCACGTCAATGTTGTAACATTGCATGCAGCCACGATAAAGAAGTGTTAATAAGATCATAAAAGTTTCTATCTGTGTTATATCTTTTTATTTTTTATACTATTATAATTTATCAAGAATTCTACTTCAGATGAGAAAAATAAAAAGTGCATTTTTTAAAACGGCGATATCAACAGTGTGTGTCTGAAAGGAAAGCGAAAAGCATATCAATTGTTAATTTCATGGAAATCTGAGATAAATAAATCTTTTTCTTGAGAAAGTGTTCTATCGTATATCCGTGCGACTTTAGCCTCGATTTCCTTGAATGATGTAAACTTGTTTCGCGAGTTATTAAATGAGATGCAAAATGTTGATAGTTTTTCTCATGTATACATTAATGATTATTAATTTCCTCGTTGAAGGAAGATAACCGGAAAGAAGCCGATGTTATATTTCTGAAGAAGGTTTGTCGTAGCGCACGTTTACACGACACACAATTCTATTAAATTTCTTGAGATCTAAAAATATCGTCGGTGAAATGGAGCGACTGTGATTCTAGGTCGTGACCAGAAAACCGACACGTTTTCGTGTGAGGTGCGTGATGATAAACTTTCTCACTTTTAACAAAGACTTCACGTTTCCTTAATCAGAAGACATTCCTTAATCAGAACACATTATTGCACTAAATTCATTCTGACATCTGTGATGTTAGAATAATTTAGAGTGTATGCACACATCGAGAAAAGTTTTTTTTTTTTCGCTTATGATTGATTTAAAAAAAATATTAATTATAAATATTGTTTAGAATAAAAATGTTAAAACTCGAGTAATAACTTTCTACATAATAGAAAATCGATTTATTTAATGTTTGAAATATTAAATATATTGTTCTTACATTTTAATGGCTAATATCGTATAATCAAAACATTCTTAATAAAAACTTTTTATATTTTCTCGATCTAATTGATTTTTGCAATTTTGCTGCGCGTATATTTCGATGTAAGTATCGTATTAAAAATGTTGCGCGTGTAAATCATAAAGTTAAATCCATTTTTCATAGACACAAAGTTTTTCTCAAAGTATTCTTATGAATAACGACGTTGTGTTATCTCGTTTAAAGTATATTGAATATCATTGAATATATTTATATCACATTTTAAGTTTTTACGATAAACTAAATATAGCTCAATTTTTTAATTTTAGACAGGTTTAAATAAAGATTCAAAACACTCAATAAAGTTTCACTTAACAAAGAGATATTTATCTGTTTGCTATCGAGTCTTATACGACTTTCTCTTTCAATCGTTCCGCATTTCAACGTGTCGATGATGATTCCGATGAAAATAAGATAAGTTGTATTGTTCACGAGTTCAGTTGCACGATGAATCATCGCGGCTGAATTTATTATTAGATATCGCATGTCCGTTATACATAGTTCATGATTAAACGAAAACGCCGATTGTAATTATCGATTTCGTATCAGTCTGAATAAATCTAACACCTCGCGTAAATTGAATGTAAAATTATCACAAAAAAAAAAATTGTGTTGCATAATCGGAACCTACAAGAAATATCTACTATAATTTTATCACCTATTTATTCAACTATCTGGTTGACATACGATTTCGGAACCAATGGAGAGATACTTATCTATTTTTTGCGCACATTTTTACTGGAATCACCGATCGATATCATTCATCATCGTGTGCTCCGATTAAATTAAGTGCGCGAACACTCGCTTATGTCAGCGTGCTACCACACGTCGACAAACGAGAGATTAGATTAAATGCTTTTTGCTCAACATTAACTTTGCTCGGCGGAAACATCTCGTTGAAATAACTTATTGATTGCATTTTTTGGAATATATAGTAATTACAAAATATAAATGATTCTTTCTCAACATATGTTATTTAATATATATATATATAAAGAATCGCTACTCTGCACGCATCATGTATAAATTTTCGAATAATAACAAACCGAGAAATTAATGCGTTTTGGTTTTATACTACGCACACGATTAGGTTTCACTCACCTTTATTTTTATTAAATTTTTTTATTGTGCTTTTATGACAAAATAAATAATTGAATAAAAGAAATAAGTAAGCAATTATAGGATTTAATTTCGTTTAAAGTCTGAATTATATATGAAACATCAGGATTCAAAGTTAAAAATGTGAAAAATTTGAAAAATAATTTAAAGATTATTATAGTCATTATGATGATAATGCAATTCAAAAAATGAGAAGAGATAGATAAATGTGAGTGTGTGTTACGTACTTTTTGCGAAAAGAGTTCTAATTGTTTCTTGTCACGCCCGAGTAATTAGTACCTTCTCATTATATTCGTTATATGTTAGCACATACTGCAGTAAGGTAGCTACGCTTCTCGTAGATGATATGTGCCGCGTTTGTATCCTAGAACGGCACGTAAGCAACAAGAAAACGGAGATGTCTGTTGAATTCACATAAACATAATATCATTTTCGATGCTTGTGCATCATATAGCTACGTCATAATCGACGATTGATCGATTGCGCTGTTTGACATCCGATAATCTGCGCGCAATTATATGCAGAGTGCCTCGCATTTACTTCGCCATCTTTTATATACGAATCGATATTTGCTCAATAAAAATTTTAAAGGAAATTAAGAACTTTAAAGTGTAAATTCTTTTATTTTGCTCAAAAATATATATTCAAACGATTTAAGTCACAACTATGAAAATCTTAATAAATCGATATGACGTCATGAAATTTTTAAGGCTCACTATTACAATTCTAAAACTGTACGTTTGTACGATAAAATTAAGAATTGATTGTATCTAAAACTAAGAAAGAGTCTGTATCGAAAGAATTAATCTATCGCGAGACCAAAAGAACGAGGAGCGCAGCCTGCGTGTAACAATATTATGCAAACGACATGCAGCTGCGCATTGTAATCCAGCGGACGATTAGAGGAGACGTCTTGTTAACCGGGTTAATCGTAGCACGTAGTATGTGTTTACTGTCATTTCATTGTCATCGAGATTAGCGAATTAAAATTCGTTTTTTTGACCAAAATTTAGTTTAAATCTAATAATTGTTATAATAATGTATGCACACATGCACATTCAGAAATTATATGTTATGCATTGCTTCCCTCTTATCCATTTCACGCCAATCGACTTGTTAACTTCTAATTAATCACGAATGCGTTCCGATAAACTTTCGCGTGATCTCTAATTAACAATGTAATGCATTAATAAAAGTGTATTAAAAATAAGTAATTGACAATTTATCCAAAAAACTTTGCCATCAATCTTAATAATCTTTATCTTAAACACTTTTTTTCCAATGTTAATATTACTCAGTAATGTCCAGTAAAGCTCACTAAATTCTAAATTTGTATACAATTCTATATAATTTACTCTTAGATAATAAGAACCGAGTAATTTCGATTAACAATTGGATAAAATTTTGCAGATAGCGAAGGCTGTGAAAGGAGTCATGACGAGAAACCGATGACTTATGTAGGAAGTGTCCTTGACGACATTTCGTCCAACATCTTTCTGTCTCTTACTATTTCAAAACGTACAACCGATCAAAATTTGACGAGTGAATCAAGAAGATGTCATCGTCAAGGCCGAGGCGACCTAGCGTATCGATTTGCGATTATCCGGAGCACCTGAATCCGTTCAATGACGGCACAACAAATTCGCAATCACAGGTAAACCATGAGAGCAAATCATCGAAGGAGTTGAAGCACAAATTTTGGACGTTCGGCAGGAGCCGAAAAAAGAGATCGAACAGCTTCTCTATCAAATCTACTTGGTAACTTTTTTTTAAATATTTAATGATAATAATAAGTTAAAACAGTTATAATTCTTTCACTTCTCAGTTTTAATCTTATTTGCATGTTTTTGTGTACATAATTACATTGTATGCAAAAATCGTTCTATATTTTTTTCTAGAAAATCGCTTCTTCAGGCTCACTCTCTTACATTATTCACGTGATTAAAAATACTTTCATTAGAAACAGCGAGTTCCGGTCTGATTAACAATATCTGAATTGCGAGATTAAAACTGCGAGAAAATAGAAAAATCTGCGCCGCATCTGCTAAAGGCATTATCATCGTCATCGAATCGAAAATCGATACAAAAACGTGCGTTGAGAACGCACGGAATCGCATGAATGTCACGCTCGAAATTATTCAGTCGTGATCGTTGGCAAAGTGGAAGCCACATTAAGTGGAATGAGGATGAGGATATAATCGGCGCTTTTAACGACGCGCAAACTACGCGCGTAGAAACAGCTTCGCTATTTGCGAGCATCGTATTTAACGGGTTTGCTTCTTTTCGATTCTTTTCTCTATTTTTCTACTCGCGTGATAAATCGGTTGCGTGTCTGAACAGTCTCGAAACACTTGATTCGTATGCGTATCTATAGCAGTGATGGATAAATTAAAAATGCATTCGTGATGTCATGAGATTGCTACGTGTATATACGATACAACATTTCTTGATGACTTTTACAATTATTTTTAAACATAAAGTTCATAATGCCGTGGTTTAATTTCTGTGTAAATGACGATACACAATTCGATTGTACAAAACGTCAATATTAGATTAGATTGAATATTTTTGCATAAACTATAATAGTCTACGTTTATGTATAAACAATATAAATTACACGTTTAACGTGTAAATGTATGTAGACAATGCATAATTCATAATGCGATATATATTTATGTTAAATTCTGTTTGAAATATATATATTTGTTTTATAATAAGCTTGAAATTTTTAAAATAACTTTGGATCAGTTTAATAAAAAATAGATAGTAGTTCGTACATTCTAAAATCGTTAGAAAATCTGAAAACCCAAAATTATCATAAACAACGTTTCTTCGGAGAAAATTACAAACTATTTAACTAGAAGCGTACGGCACTAATGCGATCGTGTATACCAGTTATGAATTTTGCGATGTGACCCAATTATATCAAACAACGCAATTCGCAATCTCATCATCTTCGCGTGCCTTCACCTAAGTACCCGTTAATAAACTTCAACGCGAAACGCGTCGTAACGATACAATTGTTACTTGTCGTAATCACTGAGCATTCCTAGATAAATGTCTCGTTAAACGCACACTGCTGTTAAATCCAGAAACTAAATGTCATTTTCACCTTCCTGATGTAGTCCAATAAAGCAACGACATTTGATGCTACGTTTTTACTCAATATCAATTTTTATATACAGGAACGGATTGTTTGGAAAGCGCAAAGAGCCATGTGAAGGAGTGGAAAAGAAATCGACGATTACAACAGGTTTGTTTACTATTTGTTTAATCGCGCTGAAAATACCTAATTCTATAAAACGTATTATCCGATGTAAGTTAAATTGTAGAATGTAAAATTAAAAATCTCTAAGTTAATTAATTATTTCAATGACAGAAAAAGTTATTTATATCACATAATTATTTTATGCTTATTTTATCATTACTCAATTATATGATCTAATATAACATTTATATTTTAGCTTTATAATTTTGAAAAATAAATTTTTCAATAGATTACGAATGCGAAATAATAATTTGCTTCGAGTGTACGAAATGTTTACATAATCAATGACGTACTTTATCGTGTAAAATAAAACTCTTATCACATGCTGCAGTCTCGACAACATATAAGAGAGAGCCTTACAACAAACCGATAGCACCTCCGCGCTTATCGAAAGATCAACAGGAATTTGACGAAGCACTGGGCACTTTGACAAGGAGGAGAAAGTATACTTTTGACAATACCTCGAGATACAGCTCGAATTTGACAGTAAATGGAGATTCTACTAAAATTTATGACGCAAATCCCCAAGACACCACGACGTCTATCATGGGCGTTGATCTCACACCAAAGCCTCCTGCCAGAAGGTGAGTTTCGTAAAAGCAAGGTCATTTCAATATGCATTCTCTAGAGTATTTTTGAAAATTTTTTGAAGAAAAATTATATACATTATAATTCTAAAATTTTGTATACATATTTATTTATGTTTATGACTCTTCATGAATTTTTATACATGAAATAATATCTAATACATAAAAGATATCTTTCTTATTTTATATTTAAAATATATAAATATAAAACCTTATACAATTTAAAAAAGTGTATTAAAAAATTATTTAAAAATTATAAAAAAAGAAATTTTTCTAATTTATCTTAAATAATATTATAAAATATATATCTCTATTCGAGAATCTTATTAGTACAAAATTTTTGGAGCAAAAGATGCGAAGATGTTAGGATAGAAGTTATTATAATATGCATATTTACAAAAATCTGTGAATTTAAAAACCAAATTAAAAAAAAATGTTTTTAAATTAAATTTTATTTCTTTGCTCAGATTTGGACAAGTAAGTCCGAGATTGAAGGACAACATACCACCTTTGGATTTCGAGGACAGACAACCCAAGGAGAATGGTGATGTGACCCTCCGCAACAAATCAGAAGAGACACCAGTTCCGCCACTGTAAGATTTTTTGTTCTTTGTTTAAAATGGCATTTATGCCACTCTAAAAGTTAGCGTAAATTTGTTTGTTGTACGATTTATAGGATATGTGTAAATGTAAAATCTATAATATAAAATACTTAGCAATTTATTTATAGTAATATGGTCGAGTGTGTGAACACTGTTTTACATTGACATTTGTAACATTTGTGATAAGCGTTGAAGTTTCAATTGCTATAAAATTAAATGATAAAATTACATATCTTCCAATATTCGCAAAGTAATCAACGACATCAAAATTTAATAAACATTTTTTTTAATTTGATAAGGACACATTATTTGAAACAGATTTTTATTTGCAATTACAAAATATTGTTGAAACTTACGATCGTCCAACTTATTTCTCAGACGAAGATTTGGCAACAGATCATCGCAGAGGTTAAATGGAATCACATCGGACCTTGAAGAAGACCCGGCTAATCGATCCGGCGATATCAGTCTAAAGGATGAGAACGAAAATGTACCCGAGGATTATATTTTCAAACGATTTAGCCAAGATGCCGTAAGAAAATCGAATTTATCCATTAACAGCTGTACATCCATCACCAGTGCGGCTAGTACATATGGACGCAAAAAACGAAGAGCACCACAACCACCGAAACGAAAGGAGCAATTGGAAACTCCTTTGGTATGCATAAATTTATTTATTGCATAATGTTTTTTTATACACACATTCTTTTTATTTTCTAGGAGGGTGGCTGTCGACCCGCAGAACCTACATCAGAGAAGAGCATAATTGAACTCCAAATAACCGAGCCGATCGCCAAAGTCGCAGAGAACATCGAAGAGGTGACGAAGAAGAGCTATGGAGAATCGAACGAAAATTCACCACAGAAAGAACAAAAGCAAGTCGAATTATCTACTGAAAACGTGTTATCTAACGACAGTGTCGTGAAGAACGAAACATGTGAAAATTCGCAATGTGTATCTGACATGAAAGAGAAAGAAGATTCTTCAGTAGAAAAAGTAACGTGTAATCCCGATGAAAAATTAGGAAGAATCACATCTGAAGCAAAAGATGATAAAGAAAAAGAATCGAATAAAGAACAATTAAATAATGCTGAGAATTCCACCGAGAATTTCGTGAACGTCGAATACGAAAGAATGTCCCAAGAAAAGATCGAGATTCTCAAAGATGCCGATTTAGAATGTGACGAGGTCAATCTTCGGATTAAAGGTTCCGCGTTGTCGCGAAGCGATAGCTTTTCTGTAAAAGAGGAGATCGAGAAGATCGAGAGGCAGATCAAAGAGTTAGAGAGCAAGGAAGCATCCATGGATCACGACGATCACGACGACACGGTGACAAATACCCGATTGTCCATTCAGGCGAATCGCCGGCACTTCTTCGAAAATATGGTAGACGGGCCGTCCGGTCCGATCAAGCTAGAGTTCAAGCAGTTGCCGCGCGAGCAAACGGACATCCACGTGGTGAGATTAACAGATCTGCCGGTCGCGATGCCCCGGGACCCAGTCAAGGTGATCGAGCTGCACATTTCTGAGCCGATCAGACACAAACCTGAACTCTTAGACGAGGTAAATCCTATACCAAAACCCAGAAGACACAGCGCGCTCAGTCTAAAAGATGAGTCCGAGACTAGGCATTTAAAGGATGAAGGTAGCAGCTCAGAAAATCACGACAAAAGAGGAAAATCTTTCTAAAATCCTGAAAAAGCTTTACCCGCAAATTTTTAACTTTTCAGTGATATTCTGATCGTTAAAACTTTTACGTATATTGCAAGCGTACTTGGATTTAACTATAAATTCGATAAAAGGGAAATTTATGTGCTAGGAGACGAGCTATTACTCGAAGGCTGTATGCGTATTCTACATTACATGTCCTCTTTTCGGACATGCAACACTTTCTTATTAGATCGTAATGATTTCATACTAATGAAGAATCATACACATCCTTCTGTGAGAAAATTTAAAATTTCGATCGTGCTAGGTGATTGTATAATGATTTCTTTCGTTTGACATCGTAACATTTCATATGTAGGGCGTTAAGAACGAAGTTTTGCCTTTTGTTAATAATATTAACTAGTTATTTGTTAATTACTGTTAATTTAATGTAAATTAACAGATATAAGCATATTTTTGCAGTTTAAACAAGAATCATTTTTATATAACAAAAATTATTTTTGTTTAACAATTCAAATATCAAGTATCTTTCTTTACACTGAAAAATCTATATTATTCATATAGAAATGTAAATACGTATAAGTGACAAAACTTTCTTAGCGCCTTATGTATTTAGGTATAATTTTCATTATTTATTGATACGAAATAAAGTCTAAATCCTATCATAGAAATATTCTGTGATACAATGTATAACTCTACTTAGAATATTTCACGAGATTATATTAAAAAAATATAATCCTATTTAGAATTTAATAAAATCTGTAAAAATGCAGAAATAAAACAGCTTGAAATAAATCTATGAAAACGTAATAGTACGAGGAATAAGTGCACATATCTCTTACTTTTCATAAATTATTATTTTATATTATAAAACATGATCTTTATAATAAGAAATGTTTTTCATAAAATATTTGTTTAGCCGAGTTCACCCTTTTGTGCCAGCTTTTCCATTTGTTTCTGTTTATACTTTATAAATCTCGTCAAGTTTTCATTTACAGTTGATACTACGAAAATACCATTTTTTAACTGCTTTTTCTGCTGTCGTACCTACAAAGCAACATAAAAATTAAATATAAGGGTATATTTTTGTCACGTGTTTAACTCATTATGTATTAAGAATTAAAAGATAAAATTTATGTAAACATTACACACATTCCGGGTTTTTGGAAAGCATATTCAAAATCTTTAGTTCGGGATTAAAATGCTACATAGATTTATAATATCTGAAAATCTTTGCTTTAATTTATGATTATGAATTTAAGAAATTATTGTGACGATCTTTCGTTGAAAAGCGATTTACTTGCCTTGCCTTTGAAATATGATATCGAAGACTTTAGTCTTGGCACTAATTTGATATCTGCCGCTATAACATCCGTTGTGTCCTCCGCATATATATCCATTAACGCGTCAATAGATTCTGCTATGACCCATGCTCGAGTCTCTGTCGTACAGATGTCCAGCAAAAACGTAGAAATAAACTGTCAACAATTATCTCTTTCGTAAGACTCTTAGAAAAATTTTAATTCAGAAACCTAGAAATCTGGAGACAATTACCTTTATCATTTCATAATTTTCCAAAATTTCATTATTTATCATGATTTGCACCGAATTGCAAAGCATTCTTATCAAATTAACGCGAACATTCGCATTCGAGCATTGACGTGCGCCATTCAACATTGGCTGGACATCGTTAATGGTTAACTGTTTAAAAAAATTACAGTCCGTCCGTACTTCAACTAATCGTTGAAGAATAGCTCTCATAGCGGCGGTGGCTGCTTCCAAGAGTTCTATGTCATCCGACACAACGTCCTTAAACACGATCGATCCAATTTCCAACCATTTCCTGTAAAAAATATATTAAAGATTAGAAGCTAAAATTATTACGTAACAAGTATTATCGTCTTTTCGACTTTTTGCTAAATTAGGAACTAATTTACTTGTACAAATTATTAGCAACTCCAAAGACATCAATCTCCAAGCTGGGTAACAAATTATTTATACATAAATAAGCTACGCATCGAATGTCATGAAACTGCTTCAGCACAGCTTTTCCCTCCGCAGTTTGATCGAGTATTTCCTGGCTGTCTTCACCCACCACGAGCTCAGTTTTGTCCCAGATTTTGTCGATTAAATTACAATTGTGTATTACTTCGACCAGTTCTACTGGAAGCGTCGACATTATTTTTGAATCGTTATTCATGGAATCATCATCCGGACATTCAGACTCAATCTCCATTGTTTCAGAGACGGATTCAATATCGGAATCAATTGCGTCATCCTCGTCTTCAAAGCACAAATTTGCTAAAATCTGTAGGGCCTGCTCTTGCACTCCCAATGTTTTTCTACTTTCTTCTATTATTTTCTTCTTATCACTTGAGGAAACGTTGTTTTCATGGGGCAGAATAGATGTTAAACAAGATAGTAGCTGTTTGTGATCAATAGCGAGCACTTCGCAAAGTATTGACAACACTTTACAAAGTATATGTGTCCAATTATTGTCTGTACAATTATTCATACTAATTAATAGATCAGCTACAGAAGTTTTCAAGACTAGTACTTCAGTGGCAGTCTCGTCATCATCCGTAGTCAAATCCAATAGTCTGAGCAAAATTGATTCATTTTCCTTAATCTTTGTAATAGCGGCGCAGTTCTCGTCCGATAAACACACCAGACATTGTGTAATGACTGTGGCAATCTCTATTCCGTAAATATCGATAACTAGAAATTTTATTAAAAACAATATCAGATCCTCTTCGTTGACGGATTTGATTGCACTTTCATTATTTGCACATAATGTCCACAACAAGGTGACTGTTTGAACAAAAGTTTCTATTTCTTCTCTCGCTTCTTTTTCTCTGTAGTTTTTTGGTTGCCAATTTGAGTAGCACTAAATAAATAAAGAATTTAGATATTATTGCAAGTTGTTTTAATGATTAATTTTAATTTATTTTAAAAATTTAGATATATAAAAATATATATATATACATATGTCTATGCGTGCACATGTAAAATTGTTTTCAAGGAGACATTATATTTGAAATATATTATCATACTTGAAATCATGAATACCACTTAAAAAATTATCATAAGCATAACACAAAATAAGTGAATATTTAATACCTGTTTCAAAAGTGCAATCAGTGGAGTCATAATGTCATCTTTTATTAATTCAGTACATGCCTCTTCTCCACCATTTTCAGCAATAGCTCTCAAAGTACTTACAGTATTAGCTTTGATAGCAGCATTATGATTCATTAACAGTGGCCCAATTATTTTTGCAATGCCATCTTTGGCAATTTGCCTCGCCATGGAAGCATCAGAAGACATTGCTATTAATATTTGTAAAGCAGTTAGTTTTTCCCCTAGATGACATGATTGTACCTAAATAAAAAAAGAATATTTAAGAAACTAAAAAAAATTTTAATATATAAAAACATATATGTATGTGTGTACGTGTAAAATTGTTTTAAGAAGGATATTAGATACTGCATGTATTGCTTTAAGCATAAAAATATTTCAAAGATTCAAAAATTAACTTGTCATTAAAATTGTGTTTTGTTAATTATATTGATTTTATTACATAAAAACATAAACTATACTAATGAAATTTTATATACTTACATCACCATATACACTTTGCAATGCCTTCTCCTTATTGCTTTTCATAATCTCTTCACTTTCAAAATCTCTGACAGATAATAATCCTGTTGGATTTTCCTTATGGGGCTTTCGTCGCTGTCGTTTTTGCTTACCCATCGTGAAAAATTAATTGAACAGTTATTAAAGATAACAAAATATATTCACAAACGTATTGCAATGTGCAAAAACTTATGTTTTCGTTCTTTGTAGGTTATAACTACAATATATCATAGTAAGGCAACTAGAACTGCCAGTTTTCCTTGAAGAGCTCCACATCAGTGTTGCGATATGAGACCGGTTGTATGCGCATGTGCGGCAATACGGCGTCAGTACAGTGTCTCATACAAATTAAACAAGGCACCGTTACCCCGCTACATTAAAAATATTTCAAATTTTTTGAAATTGATTGAAATTTTTTACTTCTTGGTTTTTTAGCTGCTGGCTCCGTAGATTCTATGCTTGTAAATAAATAAATCTTACCTTATTTGTAGTCACCAGACCTTCTCATGTCAAAACGTCCCGCCATACGGTCAACACATAACATATAACGGCACTGGATCTCCATCACCGCACATGCGCAGAGCCGCACATGCGCATACAACCGGTCCCATATCGCAACACTGCTCCACATGCACGCAACCGAGGCCCGCTGATGTCACGTGTCCGTGTGCGCTCGGCTTTCGGTTTGTAGAAGCGAGCGGACATATGTTTTGCCTCTCCTTTCCACCAAGTGATTTTATGAGGACAGCTATACCGTCTATACTTACTACGTTTATGGTTTAGCGAACTTTATCGTGTTTACGTTATCACTACAGTATTATATCTTATTCACTGTTTCAACAATTCTCGTTATAATTTGTGATCATTTTAGTGAATAATCATGGAAAAATGGATGGAAGAGAAATTGTCCGAATTACTGAATTATCCTGTCTCGGACGATCTAATCGAGTAAAATTTTATCATACAGATGATTATAAAAATATGTCTTTAATCTGAATTTGTATATTATCATGTTTTTAACAATGTTTTAGATTTATTAAAAAAATAGAAAATGAAAGAGATTTAGACTCTTTCTTTGATACTTTTCTGGACAACAAAAATCCGAAACACAAACAATTTGTAGTGGAATTAAAGAAGCAGCGTGGTAAGCAGATCATTGTAACTTAAAAGACTTTATTTGTCAGATTATTATCAGGGTTATATCAAGTTGCTGTTATTCTTTATTTTAGCGATTTATAATAATCAAGCTGGATACAGAAAAACAAATGACAATGATAATGTACTCAAGAAGCAAAATGATAAGAAAAAGGGGAAAGCCAAAGGAAGAGAGAATGTTCAGGTATATTTTACATACATGTTTACCAAAATTATTGCAAGTTATTATGAAATAATTGTTAGAAAATTTTAAGTGTTAAGTGATAACAATGTATATATGTGTTATTTAAAAATTGATATTAGAACTGTTAATTATGCAGAAGTGTACATTATATATTCAAATTTTTAATTGCCATGTAGAATTTATAGTTTTAAATTTCAAAATGTTGACTGTAGATTTGAATATAATATTTCAAAAAATCCTAAGTGTATACAATCTTTATGTAAATTTAATTATATTTTTATAGAAATTATTTTTAGTAAAGTATTTTAAAAAATTTTTTAATAAGTTTTTAAAAATTAAATTTATTTTACATTATTTTGTTAGATGCAAGAAGGTGCAAAGCCTGAAATAAAGTCTGACAAAATGGAAAAGAAAAAGACTAAATTTGTCAATATATTATCCCATGGAGATGTACTTTTGAAAGGTATATAATAAGTTTGTATAAATAATGCATAAATATCTGGCAATAATTTTATACAAACTTTATATAAACAAATATTTTTTATTAGGGAGACACAAGTGCGACTGCGAAGCAAAGAGACATACATTAGTTAACAATTGTTTCAATTGTGGCAGAATAATTTGTAAACAGGAAAATGTAGGACCATGCTTATTTTGCGGAGAACTTGTTTGCTATCCGGACCAACAGGTGATACTACAAAGTAAATCTAAACAAGCAGAAATTTTGTACAACAAATTGATGGAACAAAAACCAAGTAAAAGCCTTGAAAACTCTCTCAAGCAAAGAGACAAACTTCTTGAATTTGATCGCAACAGGTTTGTACTCATTTTTACTTGTCAAGATAACTTTTCACACTTTAATTAATAATGAAATTAATTCGTAGCGCTCGTCGCACTAAAGTGATCGACGATGAATCAGACTATTATCAATCAAATAGCACTTGGCTTACTGCTACGGAACGGGAAAAGTTACAGAAGCAAGAAGCGGACATGCAAGCTCGCAAGCATGCGTCGCGTTTAAACAAAAGGATTGCTATAGATTTTATGGGAAGAGAAATAGAGGAAAATGAATTTTTTAATCAACCTCACACTATGCAATTGGAAGAATTTGACGAAGCAATGTGTAACGACTTTGAAAATCTCAACGTCTGTCCCATGATAGAATTTGATCGTCCGACCGTAAGACAAATTTTTTATAATTGAAATAGTGAATTATGAATTTATTAATTAATTTTTAAATTAAATAGAATAAAACAATTGATTATAAAATTATTAATTAGAGAAGCTTGCTATCATTAATCTTGCAAAACTATTAACAACTTTGTGCGCTCTTTTCTCATTATATATTGTTATTTTAAGTTTATCGACTTAGGAACACTTAGAAGCAGAAAAGGCGGAAATAATACATGGAGTATGGAAAGTAGAGTTCAAGATAAAGAATATCTAGAAATGTCTGACCAAGGTCTATGTTTGAGCATGCATCAGCCTTATGCATCGTTATTGCTGGCGGGAATAAAAATGTGAGTGATATGTGCAAAGAGATAATTAATGCAGTCAAAATAATATGATTTTTATTTTATCAGTCATGAAGGCAGGAGTTGGTATTCTTCGCACAGAGGAAGATTATGGATAGCATCTGCTGCTAAAGTGCCTTCTGCTCAAGAAATACATGATATAGAGCATACCTATCGCGTGTTAAAAAGTGGTAAGTAAAAAATACTAATTTTATCTTCAATTTTATATTTATATTTTTATGATTTTAGAAAAACTTAAATTCCCCGAGACGTATCCTACGGGTTGCTTGTTGGGTTGTGTAACGGTGACCAATGTTCTGCCTCAAGAGGAATATAAAAAATTATACCCTGAAGGTGAAAACGATAGTCCATATGTCTTTATATGTGAAAATGCTTACACGTTACCGATATATTTCCCTGTGAAAGGAAAATATAAGATTTGTAAGTAATCATGAGTATCGACAACTTTTATTATTTATAATTAAATCCTCAAGTGTTAGTGATATATATATATTTTTTAATTAACTATCAACTGTTTATTATACATATACACATCATTTAAAAGGAAATATTTTTTACCTATAGAATTTTTGTACAACAAGATTTCCATAGATTTTTGGGGTTGCACAATCTAAATCACTTGTAAAAATTTTGAAATTTAATATGATAGACTTAATATAGTAAATGCAAGTTTGAAAACTTATTTTCATCAGACTTTATTTCTACGGATTTATATAGTCTTCGAATTATAATTTGATATCAAAATTTAAAAGTTTAAGATAATATTATTTTTATAAAACACTAAATAAAATTTATTATACTCTTCAATTTATACATCATACTTAAATTAAATTTTAATAATTACTTTGAAATTTAATTATATTATATTTTATTTTTTAGTTTTTATTCTTAAATTATAAAATTTACATTTTAATGTTTTAATCTTTTTAATTTTATTTCAATTTTTCATTGTTATTTCATAGAAATTTTCTTTGTGTAATGAAGCATTTTCCTTATCTAACACTTAAGGATTTAATGTATTATTAATTAGACGATATCACGAAATAAAGTTTTTTTTACAGATAAAATGGACAAAAAACTTCATCAAGCTGCTTCTAAATATTTAGAGAAAGCCATAAAAATGACTAATTGACTTTCTCATATCAGTTATTAATCCTATTTTAACAAATTGAATAGGATACACTTTTTCCAAGTATACGTTTATTTTCATTTTAATAATTTAAATGTTACATGCGTTCTATTAAAAATAATTATTTGTGTTTTGTACAAAAGTGTTCTCTCTGTTGATGCATCTAATAAAAATTTACATAAATATAATATGCGTATTATATTAAATTTATTATTTGTATACAACAGATTATTTATAAAATTTACATAAACTCCGCAAGATGTTATAATATAACTGTTCATGCATGCTTTACATTGTCTATTTTATTTAATACATTTATATATATTTTTTTTTTCATTAAAAAAATATTACCAATTTTATTATGGTTATAAAATCAGACTTTTTATAAATGGCGTTAAAAATTATTTGTTGTTAAGATAGAACACACATCTGAAATACAGATACTTTTTTATTTTGAAAAAATACGAGGATCATTGTACTAAATCTTTATTTTTAAAATGGCAATTATTCTACTTTATTCAATAACTTCGATGCATCACCTATAAGCTTCAAGCGATATGGCTATAAACTTTTCTCTGTTATCTTAGCACACCACAAATCAAATTATACATAAATTAGGCTAACTCGATGCGACTAATAAAAGCTCCAACTATACTATGCTGTTAATTGAATAAAAAAAGCTGAGTAGTTGAATATAAATTAAAGTACATTAGCTCCAGCTTTGTCATAAATTTTCTATTGAGCAAAACTTCATCGTCTCCCATGCAATACTTTATATTAACAAAAGTTAATCGGTTATACATACGTTTTGTTTTGTGCAACATTGGCAAATTTATAAAAACATAATTTACACATATTCTATACGTTAAATAAAGTTACATATATATATATATATATATATATATATATATATATATATATATATATATCCAACAATCTGAAACAAGCTTAAATAAGGTAAAACAATTGTTGCACACGTGTACGCCACACATACACACGTGAAAATATGTTAACAAAAGGTATTTAATAAACAGAACGTATTTGATATTTTAATAACGACTCGATGAATAAGGAATGTATAAATAAATAAACGGATATTTGCGATAATTGTTCTTAAATAAAAATAATTAATAGCTTCTACAAATGATTTCAATTATACATTAATGTCGATAAAATGTCGTGAAAGTACAATAAGATTTATGTACTCAACTCATATATTAAATTCTCATTGTTAATAATTTATAATCTCATCTCTTTATAATCTGTTTTTTCTTCTGATAATATAGCGTAACATATGTATCATCGTAACAACAATCCGCAATCAATTTTGCGATAATTTTATGTGCAGTACATTTTTGTAATTGTATTTTACGGCAAGCATATCTAATTTGTTTTCAGAGAATTCGTTAAAAAACATTCCCTCAGTTTCTAATATTGTATAGACTATTATTTTCAAACTCTGAGGAAAAGCTCATCTTCTTTCCTTTTTCTTTGATAATTTATTTTTAAAAGAGTACTGTCAATTGCGCAGTGGCGCCATATAAAATCTATTCATTACAATTACAGTAACAGTACTTTTCAATTAATCGCAACACTTCATCTTTTATAAACTAATTAAATACAATCGATCAATTCGTAAAAAACAAAATTTGTGTCAAATCTCAAGCAACAATTTAGTGTAAAAATAAATTTGTGCAAAATTACATGCGTAGAATGACAACCATAATAAATTTTTTTTTTAACAAATAACATTGTAGCTTTTTTGCATTTTTCGATTATTTTCATCTTTTATTTCACGAGCTTTGGTCTAAAGTTTAATTAAATTTCATTCTTTATCTTTTTAATTGTTAAAAAATAAAAACGTTTTACTGTTAAAAATGATTTCTATCAAAAATTATTGATTACTATTAATTTAAAAAAATAATAAAAATTTACGTAAAAATTGTATATTTGCGGTCTTTTGGAACGCTAAATTCAAATTCTGTAATTGAAATGTTACAATTCTAAATTGTGTAGCAATTAGATATTTGAATACTGTTTAATATATATTTTACATAAAACTTTTTCTTAATTTATGTATATAATTAAAAAATAGTGTAATGTAATATGTAAATTAAAATTTCAAAATACCATAAATCTTATTTTGTATTTTGCAGATATAATTGCATATTAAGTCTATCATATTAACTTTGTAAACTTTGACCAGAGATTCGAATTCAGCGACACAAAAAACCTCCGGATATCGTTTTGCAAAAATTTTATACATGAAAAATATTTTTTTAAATAACATATTTATGCATTATTAATACTATCAATCGGTTTTCAAATACGCATATATACATCATTAACAGTTAATAATTGATAATAAGCCGTCGAATGTTACGATAGGTACTAATAGCTGTAAAGCACATACGATTTCAATCATTTAATATGTTACACTCTCGCTCATTTAATAGGCCACAATGTAATAATACTAATAATGCTAAAAAAGAGTCGTTATGTTATAAGCCTATTCTGTGTGCAAGAATACATTTTAAGTAAATAACTTTGTACCTTTCCTATATAAATTCGTATGCGATAACTGTTATGCCTCTAAATTAGCTTTCTATATTCGCGTTTTTTTATTTTAGGTTGTTGAAAAAGACTCGCGTCGCATGTACAATAAATTTCCGTCGTCGGTTCTATATTTTACACGCAATATAAGATTTTTGTGCAAACTGCGCAAGAACTTTAATTTTTCGTTTCGAAAAATGTCGCGTCTAATTTGTTTATATATAGGTCGGCGAATCCTTCAGACAGGTGTGGCAGGCATCACAGATAGAGACGTTCTTTTCGTTCACCAATGTACATTTCGGACATTCCTTGCCGCCGCTAGCAAGCGGCTTGTCTTCATTGCCCTTGCACCGTGACTTCGCACACATCTCGCAAATGTCGCGGTCAGGCGCATTCAGATACGTACACGTCGCGCAACTCCATCTCTTCCCATTCTCCACCGCCCCCTCCTGCCGCTCTTTTTTCTCCTTGCTCACCTGACCGACGTCAAGGTTCTTGAATGAATCTGTAATCCTAGCGATTTGATCAGCGGACTTGTGTGTGCGCGAAATCGGCAGAGTCTGGCTGTTGTGCCTCGTGTCTCTATTATACGCATCGGCCATGCTGCAACTGTTCGCATCCGACAGGTCGAAAGACGAGGATTTCTTCTTGAAGGGCAGTAGATCTTGATGATCCTTACTGTCCGTCGCAATCTCGAACTCATTGCTGTCAGCCCTGCCACTTCTTTTTTTGTCGAACCTGTGCGCGCCATACTTGTCCTCGTTTTCCGCCTGTCTGAGCGCTTTGTGCTTGGACGCGCGGTTGGTGTCTGATTCCTTCTTGTGCCGCAACAATACGTCGTCCCGATCGTCCAGATCCTTATAATAGCCTAGGCTCTCGAGATTCCGATATACGAAATCCCATGCGTCATAGCCATCTGTTTTGCTACCGTCGACTCTGATGTTCGACTTACCGGTGGCCTTTCTGTCGGCTTTGTTATACTCGTAGTAGTCGTTGTCGCTCGACTGTCGTGGATAGAAGTCCACCTCGTCCATGTCCGATATCCGCTGGGATACGAGGGGTTTACGTGGGGTGTGTGCTTTGTCGTGGTTCGTTACAGATGTCGGCATGTCAAGCTCGATCAATCTGCCGGTCGGCACACGAGCCGCATACGCCGGTAATGTGGCCCAGTACGGATTCGGTTGCACGCTGCTGCCGTAGAGCTTGTTCCCGTGGCTGGGCAGACAACCGTAGTTGTTGCAACAGTTGACGAAATCGTGATTGACCGGCTGATAATACCGATAGCCGGCCGCCGACACCGCCGGCACGTGTGTCGCGTCCTCGATGCGTCGATAATCCGTTTGACAGGGCGGCGGCATCGTCGCGTTGTAATTGTGTAGAATATGATAGGGTAGATGCAACGGTACGGCGTCCATACCTGTTTGTTGCTGATAGTAATCCTTGTAGCTGTCAATCTTTATGCGATTTTGATGTACCTTCTCTAAAAAGCGATAATTGAGCGCGCGAATCGCCTGTTCCGGTGTGCCGACATGATTCTCGCGAAACTCCAGCACTTCCAACCAGGAGATGGTGTAATTCTGCGATACACTCTCCCATATTTGCTTTAGAATCTGAAATTCAAAAATGATTAAATTCACGTCACATCTTGCAATTGTGAAATAACGTCAACGTTTTATTTCAATAATTAATGCAAATTTATTTATTTATATTTGTTGTATATTAACCTGTTTAACTATTAAGAAAAACTTTATTACTAAAACTAATTTCTGTGAAAAAATAATTAAATTTATATAAAGATTGTTAGAGTTTCTTAGAATTCAAATTTGCAAATTTTACAAGTTTGAATCATGAACTCAATGTGGCAATTAGAGAAGTTTGTACAAGACTTTTCAGATAGTTTTTAATTTGAAAGTTGCGATGTAATTCAAGAACAAAAAATAAAAAATCTAAAGTAAATATGATTAAAGTAAAGTAACTTAAATTAACATTTAAGTTAATGATATATTATTTATTTTTTTATATATATTTATTTGTTATGTGTTGTGCATTTTCGTTACCTGACATTCTACAAAAGCTACAATGGTATCTCTGCTGACACTTGAAACCTTGTCCGGGTCAATTGGGCCTTCCAGGGTTAGCATTCCCAGGCCAGTGTGTTTGTATCCCATCTGCTCAAACATTAACTCCGCACCTATTAAATTCGCCTCTACTTCGTGTTTGTAATAGCCACTGTACGTCTAAAATAAATGAAGCATGCATTTGAACACATCAAATTATATTTTTGACCAAACAGTAATAGAACAATAACGGAATACTTTTCAGAAAATTACCCTCACTGTCCTATATTCTTTTCGCCAGGGTTGAGCTAAGAGATTGGCCGCGTATAAGGAAATCGCACTCCAGGCAGTCGCTGCTCTATATCCACTAAAATCTGTCACTGTCGCTGCTGATCTATGCAAGATATCTGCAGTTTCTTGAAATACGTACTTATTCTCATTAGGTACCAAGCAAAGATATTCCTTTATAAAGCCTGAAATTTATATCAATCAATTTAGATAAGAATAATATATAAAATACATAGATAGAAGCTTTTCAGCAAAGAATACAATTGACATAGTGTGATACAGTATTAGTACAAATGCTTTCCCGAAACAATACAGCCAACAACAAATCAATTGTAAAGCAGAGTTGAAAATTTGTGTCGGAATCATGGTTGCCAATTTCAACAATTTCTTAAAATCTTTATGTTAAAGTTTGGTGTAACACTGAATACTGAAATATTGTTCTCCCTTTAGTCTTTTGCTTTCAAAATTTTCATTAAATTTTCATTAAATTATACCTTCTAATTTGTGTCGTTGTTGCAGCTTCAAAGGACTATCATCCGTCTGTAGATATACCAAATGGCTTTGCTCCAATTTCATGCTAAGTTCTTGCAGCCTGTCTTTGCTTCTAATTACCACATCATTCGCCATATTTTGTTCCTGTAATTGTAAGTAAAATTGGAATTAAGAAGCTGTAATGGTATATAACTGTCTCATCCTTTGGCTGTAACAGAGCAAAGTTTAAAAAACTCCTATAAAATTTAATTGCACGAGCTGCTAACAGCATGTTTACACAATAAGATTACAGGACTTTAAGTTGTAAGACTCCATCCATATTATTTCTCCAATAGAAATATATTTAATAGAAATATATTTAATTGTTTCATACAGTAAGCGAGTGAGGATAAATAAGTAAAGATGACTGATAAAAAATTCTTCATGAATACTGTTTAACTGCAAAGCAATTGTTTTTGAAAAATTGCAAGGATGCATGTGTAAAGCTGAAATATAAAGTACAAAATCTTTTAAATTCATTAAGTCTTCAAGGATTATAAATAAAGGAAGATTAGTTAGGACATAGTTTGTCATGTAAAAGTTAATCTTATTAAAAATGTAAGCAAAATATAATAACATTTTAATTTAATCATTGTGCAATAGAAATATTTTTTAATTTATTATATAAATTGGAAAATTGTGTAAGATTTTATAAATAAATTTGTTATACTTTATATTGTAGTGTGAACGTAAAATATAGAAATTTAAAGTATCTTTGTACCAATTGCTATTTGAATACAAAGTTACTGTTTTCCCTAAGAGAGTAAAGTTGCTCTCTTAATACTTTCAGAGTTATTATAATTATTTTTGGCAGCAAAAAGATTATTTAATGAGCTCTGTGTCTGTGATCTTTCATAGAGTTAGAGTTAGAGTTAGTTTCATGAGAGTTAGAAACTTTTTCAGATAAATCTTAATTCTAATCATTTTATTTTAAATTATAAAACCAACTCTTCCATAAAAATTTATATTTGTTAAAGCCTGTTGTGCAGCGTATCACATTCTCAGTGAAAAAACTTGATTGCTCCTGCATTAAATCACTGATGTACAAATATTAAAAACTAAACAGTACTATCATTACACAAAATTATAGCTTTTTAGAAAATTGATAATTGCTACAGATATTTGCTGAAAGTATTTGCGAATCTTAATTGGCAAAATACAATAGCCAAAAATAACGTATCATCTGAAAATAGATGTAATATCTTAGACGCATTTCACAAACCTCCTAGAAACCCGATTTTTTAGAAGATTCCCGATTTAAACTGCGACTAGCTCCAACCTAAAAATAAACGCTATATGTAGTACCGAAATTGTGTGAATCTCGTAAATGCACCGGCGGTTTTCTTGCCTTTACCTGGCATATAGCGTGATCTCCCATATTAGGTCGCGGATTTTACTGAGTATATTCCAAGTACGTTTAAATGACGTGCCGTTACATTGCTCCGTAAACAGTAAATATTTTTCGAAAGTTTTTTTTTGGTTATGTTCGAATCATACTACACACGGAAAGATACTCAAGATGCGACTGCATTTCTGAATCATCTTCGTACACGTGACTCCGCCAAGTGGCAATTGCACGAAACTTGTATTGCAAATTTTTTGGCGGATATATTTAAATATTTAATTATTTAATTAATATTATCATTTGACGGAATATATACTTAAATACTTTATTGAAATAAAAGGAACAAAAAAAAATATAACGTGAAAATATTATGTAAATCTTATTTATTACATAGCTAATACGATTATTAGAGTTTACGTAAAGGTATAACAAAAATGAGTATTATTCAAATACATAAAGAATATTTACCTTACGTTCGTTCGTATAATATTTATTTGTTTTAGAAATTATATACATATTGCAACGAGCCAATAAGAAATACATACAATGCATTCAACAAAATATAAATACGATTGAAAATTTTTCATTGAAATTTTATATAAAAATATATTACAACAAATTAAAAATAAAATATATAATTGTAAATACCAAATCTTATGCAAGTATATGAATTTCATGCTTACAGTACAATAATATTCACGTATCATTGTATGAAAACTTTAGTGTTGCGTGCGCACTAACTTTAGTGTTTTCAACTGAACGGATTTGAATTGATCCGAGAGCAATTAATTGCTACTTTAATATAAATTTTAATCCTTTATTACCGAAGAAAACACAGTGATGTCATTAATCATCTCGAGATCGATCCAAATCTGTTCACTTAAAAATGCTATTAGTTATCAGAAATTCATCGGCTCAATATACAAAAAATCATAACTACATTAAATTGCTATTACGTTATATCAATATGTCATATCAAATTATAATACGTCGAATATTTTGTAAAAGAGATTTACAAATATATCTTATAACGAGGTAAATGCTTCATGATGTAAACTTTAAATAGTATTGATTTATTTTGCTACACAAGCACATATGTTAACTTTTTTAAGTGAATAATTTTCACGAAAAAAAAATTCAGTATAAACACCAGTACAATCATGTCACTTAAAACTGGTGTATTACTATGAATTACTTAAAAATATATCAAGTTACAAATAGATATCTTTGCGATCACATTTTGTACATTATTTAAATTATGAACAAAGCCAAGATAAAAATAAACTTTCTAAAAAATATTTTTCATAAAATCTAACCAATAATGCAATAATGCAATCTTGTACAATCCTGTACAGTGAGTACATTCATTCATGGATAACTGAGTTTCACCATATATAAATATTGATTATTCAAGAATATACGTTTTTATGAAAAATGTGTAACATATTTTAAAGGCTATTACTCAGATCAAGACGTGGCCTTTTACTGCGTACTGTAGATGCATCTTCTTGGGAATCGCCATTAGCAGATAAGAATTCTCTTTTTCTGTCTGCATTCTGCAAAAAGTTTAATTCATGTGATTAAAAATGTAGTAAAATTAAGCAACAATTATTTAATGATATTAAATTATTAATAGTATTTTTGATATTGACAAAAGATATTGAATATTGATAATTGTACAAATAATCTTACTTTGTTAAATAAAGAGTTAAAAATATAGGAAAAAATTTAAAGAAAAAAATTTAACACAAATTACAATTAAATGAAGTATATTAGTATATATCTCATGAAATCTTCCCATATAATAATTGAAATTAACTAATTAATTAAATTAAAATTAATTGACATGTTATATTCATATTCACTTATTATTTTGTAGAGTAATATATATGTGTTTTGGTTGCTTTTTACCTTTTTATCCCATTGTTGATGAAGATACCTCAATAGAATGGTGGTTTTCTCAGTAACTATGACTACAAACATAAAATAATTAGCATTAGCAACAAAGCATATATTTAGTTAACTTTTAGATAGCACAGTTTTTTTAATTATCAAGTTTTTGTTCCCAAAAAACAATATATTAAATTGTTCAAAAAGTTTTTTAGTCTCTTTTCTTATAAAGATAAAATAAAGAAAACTAGAAAACTTGCAGAGTAGCTTAATATATATTTAATGTATAATTAGCTAACGTGTTTCATGATTCTCTAAAAATTAATACAATATGTACTTACTTTGTCCAGAGGGATAATCTTTGGTAGGAAGATAGACTGATGGTCTCTTGACACATGTTCGATTCCCATTGTCAGTATGAAAGTTTGCAAAATTGTTCTCATCGTGGGATGGAAGGCCCTTTAAAAATTCAGCAACAGACTGCAAAAAAATTTTGAAGCATAAGATACAAAGCTGATCAGAGATGCATACATAGCTTTATACAATAAGAAATATAATGCGATATAATACAATAAGAAATATATTGCATTATTATTAAAAAATAACACTTATTATGAAACCCCAAGAGATTTTAGAAAGAGCTAGAAACTATTCAACGTAAACATATTGTTTTTTTAAATTCAGACCTGGTCTCTTTAAAGACAGACATGGCATATAACCTAACTTCTACGTTCACTAAAAAAACAAAACAGAAATTCAAAATTGACACAATATTTCTTACCATTGTAAATAGATTATTTGTTAATTATAAATTTCGAAGATTGTCTACTTAAAAGAAAAAACTTTTGAACAGTTAAATGGATATGAAAGATACTATCATCATTTCCTTCAAATAGCTATCAGCCATAGAACAACCATAGAATATTTCGTGGAATGAGATGCATAGCAAGATTGTTTTATGGTATATACGTATAATTTACATCAATAAAATCTTACTTTACATCATACGTTTTGATGTAAAACATCTTGATATCAGTATAAAAACATGCAATAAAAAATAAGCTCTTATTTAAAAAAATTTTAGGATGACCTTTGAAAAGAATAATCTGATAATCTGTTTTACCAATAATTGATACAAATGTTTGATTTGGCTCTCTTAATAATGTTAGGTGGCGACTGTACCTAAAGGTGTTTTTTCATGCTGACGCTCGATGTTCAATTTTGACATTAAAACACATCATGTGACCAAAAATAACAACCACTACAATAGTTTTGGTCATGTGATAACTGTGGATGCTTCGACGTTTAAAACATAACCTATTTTTTTTTTTTATTTTTTGACATTGAAATCAATTAAAATTGATTGAAATTTAAGTTTTATTAATAAAAGCAAATAACATAAAATTTTGTATATTATTAATAAACTGCAAATTTTGTCAAACATTAATAGCTAGCATTATTAATTTATATTCTATTACATTTTGGTACTATCTGTTATCATTGCTGGAAGTTAACAAAAAGCAATCATCACAATGGATAAGAATAGCAAATTACAAATACTACGAAACGCTATAAACAGTTATCCCGATTTTCCTGAGCCTGGAATCAATTTTCGGTATGTAGATAAAAAAATTCAAATCGAAAAATATTTTATAATTTTAATTCTTTTATGAATTTATTGCATTATATAAGTCACGCATTTTCAGAGACATATTTGGCGTATTTCGCAATATTGCAGCGTTAAAGGCGTTGAAAGATTTAATTACGGAACACATTTCATTCCTTGAAGTTGATTTGGTTGTAGGACTGGATTCACGTGGCTTCCTCTTTGGTCCTATGATTTGTATGGAACTGGATAAACCTTTTTTGCCTATTAGAAAAAAAGGTAAACTTCCGGGCAAAGTCACTCAGCAGAAATACATGTTGGAATATGGCGAAGTATGTTTCAAAGCTATGTATAAAAAAAAGTTAAAAAATATTTAAAAAAACTTTATTGCAATTGAGTCTTTATTTTTCTAAATTACAAATTTTACAACTTTCGTAAAACTCTGTTTTATGAAATTGATATGATTGTTTAAAAATTAGTCTCTAAATAGTATGTATGAATAATTTTGTTTTTGTTCATGCAGGCAACATTTGAATTCCAAACAGACTTTGTTAGCGAGGGTGCCAAGGTTCTCATTGTTGATGATTTATTGGCAACTGGAGGTAAAATAAAAATAATTTACAATTAGATTATACATATATACACGCAGGTGTATATTATTTTGAATCAGTAAATAATGAAAAATATATTATATAATTTTTAAAAAATGCTGAAATTATTTTACAAGGATTTATAAAATCTCTTATATTAATTTTAAATTTGATTATTTAATTTACAGGCTCCATGGCCGCTGCTGTAAAATTAATGAAATCAGCAGGAGCTGATGTGATTGAATGCTTAGTGATAATGGAATTATCTTTGTTGAAAGGTCGGGATAAGCTCGAAGTACCTGTACATTCCTTTATACAGTATGATTATTAACAAATATTTTAAGGCTCTATAGTACAAATATTCAATACATCAACAAGCAAGTTATAATCTAAAATTTTGTAATGCAATACATGGTATTTTGCAATACCATGTATTGCATCACATCACAAATATTCTTGCCAAATAGCATTTATAAAAAAAAAACATATTTTTTTACTATGCACAAATGTACAAATATACATTAAATTTATATGTGTATATTACAATATAAAGATGCAATAGTTATTTATAAGAATTTGCACGTAAAATTTTTTAAAAATTACAATAAAAAGTAATAGCATTCCAATTGCGTAATGATTAAGTTAAAACGTTATTCTATTTTGTCCAAATTTTTAATGATATCGACTTTTATATTATAAAAATATGTCCTAACTAACATCCACTTTTGATCTACAAGGTCTCAGTGCATCTAAGAAACTTTGCACTTCATATTCGAGTTTTTTTATATCCCGCTGCAATTTTTCGTAATTTCTTGATTTAGCATTTTCAAAATTTGAGATTCCATGTTCCTTGCACTTTCCACATTCTTGAACTCTTCCTAATTGTGAATCTTTAGAACTTTTATACAAATGATTACTAATATGCTCCCGAAAGCATTTTTGTACCTCTAAAATTAAAATAGTTAATTATTTCTTAAAATACTTATTATTTTTTACTATGTACTATTATATTTATTTTACTATATTATGATGTAACTTAATTATGACTAAAAATTTAATTAATCCAAATATGTTGTATACTGTACCATTCTGTCTTGCTTCATGAATTTGCTTTAAAAAAGCTTTATTCTCCTCATGTAATCTTCTTCTTTCAGCAAGATCTGCAGTGTAATGATTACACTCTTGCATTTTCAAGTTTGCAAAATTGTTGGAATTATCGATAAGAAATTTTGGATACTCTTTTAATATAAACGAAGGATAAGGTCCAGTATGATTCAGTTGTAATAATTTGTCTCTGAAATAATGTTTAAACATTAATTTTCAGCCAGAATAATTTTTTATCACTTCCTGTAAATAATTGCGTTAATACCTCAGATAACGATTAGGATGCATTCGTTCTGGTATTTCCTGATCCAATCTTTTTGCAATCTTTAACAAATCCTTGGCTCTGATGTGACTTTGAGTACTATAAAATGCTTGGATATCTCCGGATGACTTTATTAAGGAGATAATATTTTCTCTCGAATAAATGTTATAAGCAGCAACGCACATCAATAGAAGGGAAGGCTTTTGAAGAGAAATCAGATGATCCCACAAGATCAGCCACTCGTCTCCCGATAACACTTCGCTCATTGCAGTTTGCAGCAATGGCCATGCGTAATCGCTGCTCGTGATTTTGTGGTCGCAAAAGGTATTAAGTAGTACAGGGTCTGCTTCTAGAAGAATATTCTCGATGATTCCCAAAATGTTCAACGGTAGCAAAGGATGATACTCGAACCATTTCTGGCAATAGTTTAGCAGGATGTTTAAAATTAGCTCAAAAGCAAGCAAAGGATCTTTCTGAAACAAAAAAAAATTTCTTTTACATATATTAAATACATTAAATAAAATCTATGTATTAAATACATTTTTTACTTCTAATAGGCAAATTATTCATTTAAGATGGAATAAGGAAATACCTGAAACACCACAATAAATGGAAAAATAAAGCTGGGAAGAAACTGGCTTTGTACGAGCAGAGGACACCATTGTAACAAGCAATTCATTGTCATGGCTAACAGTGAAGCCTTGTTTCTATCCATCAAGGGATGCTTTTTCAAAATATCCAAAATAGATTCTCCATGTGTCACCTTATTCATCAAGGCAGTATACGCATTTTTATTAACGGGTAGTTTTAAAACAGTTGACCAAATTAACATGCGATACTTCTCTGGATATTCACCGAATTCTCTCAGAATAGGCATCAGTCGTTTCATATCCAATTCTTTCTCCATACTTTGTCTAACGCATGTCAAATGATCACTTATCTTGTGTGCACGTAATCTGCATGGGTCTAATAACTTTTTTGGCTGATGACATTTTTTAGAAATTATTTTGTCCACATGTGTTATATTCAAACATCCTTCTTGATCTACATATGCTATATATCTGCCGGCAAATGAAACTATGAACTTTTTGATTCCCTCAAGGGGCACAGAAGTCTCGAGAAAGCTTGATGCATTTATGTCACAAAAATAAAGAACACATTTCTTAGACAGCAGTGCAACGATTTTATTTGCTCCGCCATCCAGCAGATATGGAACGATAGACAATTGTCTTATCTCTGCAATGTTTTCAGGTAGACATAGTTTCTTCAACAAACTCCAATTATATGTATTGAGAATGCTTATGTTTCCTGTACTTGCCATTATCATGGCTCTCCCATCTTTTGTGAAGACAAAATCCCGAATGCAACGAATTCCAAATATCTTTGTGTCAATCTTGGTGTCCTTATCCAGTTGCTCAAAATTCCAAGCCTGCATAGTGTCATTATGATACAACACAACTATATGGCCCATATTCGAGAAAACAGCTTTCTTGATTATGACGTTTCTCGCACTGACTTTTAGTTGATGAGCTTTGCTACAGGATTGCAGATGCCATATTATCACCTCATTTCGAGAATTTGTCACACAATAATCTCTGTAAAAGGAGACATGCACCGGTGTTGATTTATGACCAGACAGTACATGGAACTTGTCATCATCATGAAGCTTGAAAATCTTTATGCTACCCGTGTCGAGTCCTATCAATATTTCTGCTTTGCAGAAAGTATTAAATGCGAGAAAGGTGGCTCGCCCGACTTTTCTTAATTTTTTATAATATGGAGCATCTTTGGACAATTCGATACAATGCAGGTATCCTTTGGTGTCTATTGCTATCAAGTATTCTTCATTATGATCAAAGGCGATTTGCGTGAAACTAAGCCCAACTGTGCAGTGTTTCTTCTCGTTGCTGGCTTTAAGCTCATATCTGTAGCTCTCGTTATTTTTAATTAACTTATTCCAACTGCTGCTGTGCATAGTAGAAATACGCGTTCATAAATATCAACAAAAGACCGGAACCCCCTCTTAATTATTTCAGAGCAACTTGTCTGAAGTTATTTCATCTGTTTGCTTGCCGACAAGTGGCTAAAAAGATCACTATATCATTTAAAATTAAATAATCGCAATATTGCAATAATTACATATTTATATAAATATCATAAACTACATATTATAAATTTTTAAACATATTATGTAAATAATATGTATTACGTTATTCAGTAGAACAAAATAAGTGATAAAAAAAATTAATTTATACAATTTTATACAAATCACTTGATATATATAAATTCATACAGATGTATTTATTGATCAAACGCACATGCTCGTCGTCAGGGATACGAATTTAAAGGTTCTATTAGTAAATGACAACCGTAGTATTATTTGAAATCTAAAGCGAATCGTCTTAAAGTATGGCAGATCACACGAAATATATAATATCACCATGGGAAATCGAGGCTTACGTGCAAAGCTTAGAGAATTCAATTCTGGAAAATATCGGCACAAAGGGGTATGTATTCACATGGTTTTTTAATTATTTTATGCACTTGAATATCGATTAAATGTATATTTCAGCTGGTTGGATTTTCACAAACGATTGATATTATTAAACCAGCAAAGTGTACTCGAAGTAACAGAATTACGCGAAGAGAGCGTGATAGAATGGTTTATCTCGTTAAAAAAAGTAAGTTGTCGGAGGTGTATATATATATATATATATCTCTAAACAATTAAATAGAATAATTGAGACTATAACATATAAATAATATTCAGAATTTTTGCCTAAGCAAAAATTTTGCTTTAAAATGTGAAAACTTTACCTCAATATATAAAAAATTAAAGCAACAATTAACTTTTCCTAGTGTCAATGTTAAACTATAAATTTTTCAGACACCTATTCTTATATACGAAGCTATACAAATTGATATATGGAAGCACAAAGTATTTCCACTGTTAATTGATCTTAATGGCGAACCGTCAAATACGTTTATGTTGTTCAGTGTTCTTTATCATGAAGTCATTCTAGTTTCATTATTGGAAAACATATTATTTCATTGCGAAAGTGCGCAATCAGTGGATGATACGATAATCGATCTCATTGATTACGCTGTTCAACACGTGACGATGCTTCTCGATGGAAAAACCTTAGAAATCTATGAAAGATTTGAAGCTAAAGATCCTAAGTAAGATACTATCATCATTTTAATTATATACAATAAACTGTAAAACAAATTATGCACTCGAATTATTTATTATGTACATTTTGTCCTATTAAATGTAAATATTCAATTTATTAGTTGTCTTTTTTTTCTAGTTCTTGCCTGGAAGAAATATTGGAGAAACAAAAAATATTCGACTTCGACATTGGGATGCGATGTATTTCCATTCTTCATTATTTAATAGAATTTCTGGACAATTTACCTCTTTGCGCTGTTTCGCGTATGCTGACTGTACATGATATTCCTTATTTATTTACACAGTTAATAGAATATGAACCATGGAAGAAACAAAATGAGGATGGTAAAAATATCTCTTACTTCTAACCCTGTCGCGATAAAATATGACGATAAATAATTACAAGAGTATTGTACAGGTGAGATTCTAATGTATGATGCTAATTGGAGAAAAATTGAGACAAATGAAATAGGGAAAATTAACAAGAGAGAAGGACACGTATGGTTTAGCTTGAGAGGATTACTCCTTGATCCAAAATGTTCTCCCTATTATGAAATCACAGAACACAGAATGTCTCAATTATTGAAGGTATTATAAATTTTCATCAATCAATGCGCATAATATATTATTCTAAATGGGAATTTTTATGTTCTAGCTGCTGAAACATTTACACGAAGAAGTACTAGATCAAATAGCTCCTTTAATAGAGCTTAAGAGATGGTTATCTTACTTAAATATGTCGGCAACGCCGTCTTCGAATGCAACCGGTGCTATTCATGTAGAAGTTATACCGCAGGTATATCGCCATTCAATCGTTCTCAAATCTCATTAATTTTTGTTGATACAATTGTCAAAATATTATAATGCGCCTATTAAACAAAATTAAATATATTATATACAGATAAAAACATCCATTTTGGAAAAATACCATAAGAAATGGAAGAAGTTAGCCAAACATCAGTCTCAATATCTATTTACTACAGATACAAATTATATCAAAGATGCTGCACAAATTTTAAGCGATGTTTATGACATGGAAAAACTAGATGGCGTAGAAACGAAAAAATGTTTCTTATGCCAAGAATCAGCTAAAAAACGATGTTCTAAATGTAAAGAAGCTTGGTATTGCAGCAGGTATGTAGAATATATTTTAAGGATGTAGTTTACTAATTCATGACATATAAATGCATTAAAAATAACAGTGATTTTTTTCTCTCACAGACAATGTCAAGTGAAAGATTGGGAAAATCACAAAAATATTTGCAATGCAATAAGCGAAACTAAATAACATATAAATCTTTACTAGATATTTTGCACACGCGCGTATATTTATCAACGCAATACATATAATTTAACTTTATTTCTTTTTCTCTGCCTTTTTAAAAAAAATCACAGTAAAAGAATTCTACGTACCTTAAACAAGTTGCAAAACTGACTAAGATTAAAGGAGCAAATATATCGCACTTGTGTTAATTTATGTCAAATATTTTATTAAAAGACTTTTAATGTACAGTGCTTTGCTTTAAATATTCCATTAAAACATCTTTCGCGGGTGTGTCCTCCCCAAAATCCTGAAAACAAATGTATATTCAGTAATATGGAATAAAAACAATTAATAAAAATATATATATAATATGTCAAATATGTCAGTAAGGCATAATCACAGCATGGCCTGCTTAATATACGGGTTCTGCTCAGTAGAGGGAGCCCAAAGTATCATCCTTGTATTACATTATACAATTCTATCTTTAGCATGCTATCAAGTTTTATATGTAGCAAAAAAGGAGCAAAGAAAATTTTATAAATTTACCTTTATGACAACGCATGAGCAGCCAACCACTTTACGTGCTTTGCCCGCACTATCAATTTTACACAATCCAGCCCATTCGCCCAACTTTTTGTTATTATCTACTTTTATCAGTGGAATTTGATGTTCATTGCATAATGCTTGAACTAATTTCTTGTACATTGGTTCATCACAATTATCTGCTAAAATGCAAAGCATGGCTTGTCTCCTGCAACACAAAAAATTAATCTATTAATAGGTATTATTGTATATAATATATACAAACTATTTATTTTGTGTATTATCAAAAAATCACAAACACAGTAGAATATTAAGCCATAAAATTTTTTAATTATAAAAATTTTCCTCTAGGGAAGAACACAAGTCCTTAATAAGTTTCCTAGTTTTTTTTAAATAAAAATAAGATTTAAAAAACAAAGAAATTTGCCAAATAATCTAATATGTGCTTACTTGTTTCAAAATATGATGCTAATTTTAAGATGTTACAATATTTTGTCCTATAAATGTCAATCAATCAAATTCATCTCAAAAGATAATACTCTGTTCTTTTGTGCAATAAGTTTATTGTAATTAATTTTGATATTTCTATATCTTACTTGTCTAATGCCTTAGCAGCTTCATGAAGACCATGTACAACACCGTCATGAATAAGAGAATTCTTCAAAACTTCTTGTAATGCTGTGTTAACATCCATACTTCCACCCGTTGCCATAGCAGACGGCACATCATCACTATAAAAAATAATTTTATTAATTATAATTAGAAACATTAACCAATGATTAACTTATCTATATCATATACATTGACTTATTACTTCCATGTATTGATTATCATGTGTTATTTTTTAGTTAGAAAACTCAAAAAATTTGGACTTAATTTTAATAAAAATGTACTCAGTTATTATTTTATTTTATAGGTTTACAGATTAATTTCTAACATTGGATAAAACTGTGTAAATTAAAACTCTGTTGATATAATTTATTTAAGACAAATCAAGTTTTACTTGTCTCTTTCTGTAAAGAGACAATAAATTTTGATAGATAAAAATATTTTGATATCAAATAATTTATGAAAACCAGAAATCTTTCGAAATTGAAATATAAAATATTTCTATTTAGTTTTCTTATATTACTTATATTGTCGAGACAAGTATATAAGGTTATGTTTGTTGTTAAGGTTATGTTGTTCATTGTTTATCAAATTCTTTTTCTCATTATCAGAGATTCGTTGCCAATTTGCACAATTTTATATATATTTGCAATTTTATTAGTTTATGAAGTAAACCGGCATGATAAGAAATAAAAACATGATACAGAAAACATTGTAAAATACTCACTTTTCCACGTCAGACATGTTTCGACTGAGCTGAAGACCTGAAAATAATTAAAGAATCTTATTGTTCTTGCTTTAAAAATTACATTTTAATGCCTCTTCAAGTAAAATCTATAAGGATCTTAATTTAATAAGCAGATTTTAACTATAGAAATTTTTAGCGTGGACATTTACCTTCGCCGAAGAAAGAAGAGAAATCGTACAGCTTTGAGCATGCGTTACATCGATTCTAGCGACTCTCTGCGTCGTTATTTCGACGTTGACATATTGATATAGAGAGACATCTGTGGCATATATTTAAAACAGTTTTTAAATTATCAATGATTGATAAAGTACTTATCGATAATTGATAAAGCATTATTTTAGCCAAGACTCAAACCATTTAATTTTTAGACTAAAAATGGTTTCAGTTTTAGCTAAAATTGTTGAGTTTTCGAATTACATCAGCGTACATTATTAAAAATACTCGAATATTCTGTATGAAAAAAATATTCAAATATTCTTACTAAAATTAAAAAATACAATTAGTTTAAATAGTGATTACAGAATATTAATGCAGCTCTTTTCTGTGGATTAGTTTAATAATAGAAAATATTGGTTCTACATTATTTATTAAATAGAAAATCATGTTTACAAAATATACATTACTTCTATATAGTTGTAATTATTAATTTCTATTAGTAATCGGCAGTAATAGTAATAATAAAGAAAGAGAACATGCTATATTACTTACAGTACTGACATATTTACAAATGCTTACGCGCGTTTGAAGCACAGTTAGTGCGTTTATGATTGTAGAATATTGTTAAAAGGTTGTGACATTTTAAATGTCTAAAATATTTTGCACTTCCTCGATGTTATATTGTTAATTTTTAATACTATCAATTGTCATGATTTATCTCTAATAAATAGCTGATGTCAGTCGATGTAGTCGCACAGATAATTGAAAACTATGTTATGTAGGCGGTGAATATCGATGATATGGCCAACAATAATGTGGCGGTGGTGGTGGCGGCGGTGGTGGTAATGACGACGGCGGTGGCGGCGGCGGCGGTTGCGGCGGCGGTTGTTGAGTGGACGGTGATGATTGCAAGGACGACTGTACGGAGTGCTGCGTAGATGATGAGCTCACTGGATATAAACGGTGAGTACGATGAGCTTGATGATGAGGATGGCAAGTCACGTTTGTTACACGCGACGACGTTGACGCTTCTAGTACAATGCCGGCTTGCGACTGACAAGCCATCATCAAACCATGAAAATCGAACTTGTAAGCGTAACGTTTGCCGTGAACTTTCGTCATTATATTCTTGTCGTAGTAATATCTGCAAAATAATATCGTTCTTTTTCAACAATCCTACATGGTTTCTGGAATTTATAAATCTACATAAAATTTAGAATCTATAAAATGTGCAAAAGGGAGAAAACATGAGTACAAAACCTATTATTTTAAATAAAAAATCGCTTACTAAATTTTTCAAGAACTTTTCACTGCATCATTTTGATTTGCTAATTTTGGGACACTCTTATACTTTTGTGGCATTATACACATGTATAAATCCGCCGATCAAAGTACCTTAACGCGCGCGATAGCTTGTCGTAATTCATGTTGGGTTTGCTCTTGCGTTCGCCCCATCGACGCGCGACTTCGTCCGGATCGGTAAGCTTGAATTCTCCATTCGAGCCCTCCCACGCGATACAGGACGAGTTAGATGAATCCGAGAGCAGCTCCAGCAGGAATTGCCAGAGTTGAACCTGTCCGCCTCCGACCGCCCCCGAGCCGCCGGCTCCAGCCGTCGATCCAATGAGCGAGCAAGTCCGTTGTAGGAGGCTGAACCTCTCTGCGAGCAGAAAATGGAACACGCATGCACCAAAGCCTGTTCTCGAGTCGTGGAGTTGAGTCGTTCGCACCGCGAAAGAGAAGAACGATGGTTGTCAGCTTTCTCCAGTGTACTCGCCTTCTCATTCCGACCGACGTACGATTTTTTATTTTATCGCCTTTCCTCTATTATCATTCATGTAAATATTTGGTCGCATCCACGACAATTGCAACAAAATCACGGTGATTCAAAAACGGTTAATATACAAAGCAGCATGCATTTTGATCTTTTATTAACCATTTTTGAATTATTCAATTTTGAATCTGAATCTTTCCAAATTTGTGCTTTTAAGGTAGTTCCGACGATTTTTCTATTATTCGAGATTGATTTCAAACTTTAAGAAATAAATGTATATGCAATGATATCTTTGAGAGATACGATATCCTCAGGATGTTCTCTGAACATCCTCCGGATATGCATGCTGTATGAGCGAGTTCAAATTTGTTTAGAATTTTGTACTACATAGTTATTAAAATATCTTTCATTTAACATACCAGTTATTCAATGGTTTTAATACACAGAAAAAATTTTATATCAAAAATTGCTATAATTCGGCAGTAGCCGCGGCCCATAAGAAGAATTATAAGTTTAAATACTATGACCATTATATGAAAAACATAGTAAAAATTTGTTTAACTCCTTCATGATCCTACTACAGTATATTGTATTCTCCACTCAAAAAAATGATCTTGCAATAATAGCTAAAATTTTCTAGGTGTAAAAAATTAACTAAAACAGATAAATGATTAGCAATTGTTGTGATATTGCATATGTAATTACTTAATCAGTTTAGATGACAGAAATAGAATATATATCTGTATTGTTTGTGAACTTTAAAAAGAAAGTTTCTGTAAAGCGGCTATCTATATAAGATCAATCATGTGTTAGATCATGCAATGAATAACATTTAGCAATGGTACCTAAATTTTTCAGAAGCTATTGCTAGAACATTACTACTATAAATTCTATATGTGACAAACAATGTTTTCACAGATACGAAAAATAGCGATACATTCTTGTTGCGATATCTAGAAATCTAACTACATCAGCGAAATATTTTTTTGAGTGTCCTTGTAGGCTAATCAAATAAAAATCAAATAATTTTGTTTAATTATAGGAAAACTACTTTTGAAATATTTACAAAAAATTAAATATAATTAGAGAAATATGTTATAAAAACCATATTAAATATTTGCGAACATTTATCACATTATTGTCGAACAATTTTTATGACAAAAATAATATATTAATTGGTGCAAAAATAATTGCGATTTTTGTTATTGAGTTGATGGTTAAAAACTGCAATTATTTTTGCACCAACTTAATAATTTAATATCATGCATGGAGAGTAGAAAGACAGCAGCAAGAAGTTTGTCGTCACTTGTGTGTAGAAGACACAATCAAGTGAAACAAAAACTGTTTCGCGTGCTGTTTTCTACCATATTTTGTATTTAACCTGTATTTAACCTACTTACTTTATATATTTTTAGCAACAATTGTACGCTGGAACTACCTTAAAATAACGGCAATCATCGGTACACAATATTGTTGATTCTGAGCGGAACGCGGAAGCGCGTGAAAAGTCGAGAAGCATGTCTAATATTTTAATATTTTATTTCTTATACCCCGTCAAAATATGTTTCAATATATTTCCTGGCGCAAATTATTTTTGAATAATGTATACGGTTTTTTCTTTTCGTATCTGCCTATGTATAAATATACCTACATGCACGTGTGACGAGGACGGTACTACGCGCGTGACAGTATCTTCAATGTTTCAATTTCACTCGTTTAACTTTCTGTTTTTCTGAATATTACCGTTATAAAGAATCGCAGCGGCCGAAGGATGTAATCTGGTGTCCTGCTGAAGATGTAGAGGATGCGTCTGAATTCTCCACATTACGCGCCGAATGTGATATTTCAGCCTAATGCTGTGCCATATAAATGGCGCTTTCGAAAGTCATTAAATGACAGACCCATCATTTTTGGAATTCTGCGTATCGAAAGTTCGTTTCGATCGAGGCGACGGTGGTTTTGCGGTTTCGTTGTCGGTCTATCGTGATCTCACATTCTCCCACATCTCCTCTTCATAGGTTAAAAAAAAAAAAATATACAAACATGTACACGCGCTATAATTTCCCCTAGTAATAAAATAATATGAAAGATTATTTTAATAATTCCTTATTGTTGAGCAATCGTGTGCAACACGAGTAGCTTCGTCGCGGCGCATTCGTTAATACAAATCACGGAAATAATTCAAATTTATTTCACTGGTCTCGATGAGACGCTACACGTACATCGTGCAAATTCATATACATGCGCGCGCGTGAGTCAAGCGAAGCCAATCGGTCAGATCGTGGCAGTGAAAACTGATGTATCGACACATTTGGAATAAAACTCGCCAGTCAGTGGACCGAGAGCAACTGAGCGACCTTTGCCCCTGGTTATTTCAGCCCTTCGCACCCCCACTCTTGATTCCGGCAAGAACGGAATACCTTTACACCCCCTCTCTCTTCTGACGCGCTTAGAACACCTACGAAAGCTATCGTGCTCTTGTTTTTTTTTACTCTTGAAATTTACGTGAATGTCTTTTCGATATCTCGAATGCTATGACTAAAGTTATAAAAGTCTCTCTCTCTCTCTC